GGTTCCTGTAGTTATGTCTGGATACATATTCACTTATCAGGATTTGGTTCTGGAATCCACATATGAGGGAGAACATACATCGATTTTTTTTTTTCTGACTCTGTTACTTCACTTAGTATAACAGTTTCTAGTTCCATCCATTTACTCGCAAAGTTTCATGATTTCATTTTTCTTTACCTGAAGAAGCCAGGAAAATGGAAAGGAACCATGGGGAAGGGAGTAAAAAGGAAGAAGGATCCTAAGAAAGGGGGATGAGACCAGTGTTATCAAGGGGTGTGCTGGATAGCTTTAGTTGTCAACTTGACATACCTCATTAGAGAGAACATCAGATGAGGAATTGTCGCCATTGGACTGGCCTGTGGCCTGTGGGACATTTTCTTGATTATTGAGTGATGTGGGAGGGCCCAGTCCACTGTGGCCTGTACTGCTGCTGGACACATAGTCCTGTATTGTATAAGAAAGTAGGCTGAATATGGGCCAGAGGAGCAAGCCAGTAAGCAGCATTCCTCCATGGTCTGTGCTCCAGGTTCCTGTCCTGACTTCCTGCTTCAGCTTCCCATGATGATGGCTGTGCTGTAATCCAAATAAACCCATTCCTCACCAAATTGGTTTTAGTCAGTGTTTTTGTCACAGCAATAGAAAGCTAGCTATGATTGAAAGGGGGGAAAAGGGGAAAGGGGTACTTTAGCTGGGGAAGGAAGAGAGAGGATATGGGTGTGTGGTGTGTGTGTGTGTGTGTGTGTGTGTGTGTGTGTGTGTGTGGTGTGTAATAGCTATATATCAAGAAACACAGTGTCAGACAGGAGAAACCAGTCTTCAATTTATTGGTGAGTATTGTCCAAGAGACTCCCACACCTATATCTTTTAGGCTTTTGCCAATGTTTTCTTCTAACAGTTTTAGAGTTTTTAAGGCTTTACATTGATATCTTTGATCTATTTGGAATTGCCTTTTGTGCAGGGTGAAAGATAGGGGTTTACTTTCATTCTTCTACAGGTAGAGATCCAGTTTTGCCAGCACCATTTGCTGAACATGCTGTCTTTCCTCCAGTGAATGTTCTTGGCCCCTTTGTCAAATATCAGGTGGCTGAAATTGCATTTATTCATATTTGGGTCTTCAGTTTTGTTCCATTGATCTATGGGTCTATTTTTGTGCCAGTGCCATGTTTTTATGACTACAGCTCTGTAATACAGCTTAGAATATGGTATAGTAATCCCCCCAGCAGCAGGTTTTTGTCTTAGTCACTTCAAGATGCGGTTAGTCACTTTAAGATACTTTAACAGGAGCCGGGCGTGGTAGCCCACGCCTTTAACCCCAACACTCGGGAGACAGAGGCAGGCAGATCTCTGTGAGTTCAAGGCCAGCCTGGTCTACATAGTGAGTTACAGGACAGCTGGGCTACAGGGAGACCCTGTCTCAAAAAGACCGAAAAAAAAAAAAAAAAAGAAAGAAAGAAAAACTATAAAGTAATAAATGAGGCTGCAGGTGCCAACTTGGGGTCTGTGGGGGGCAGAGGCTGACCTGGGATTTTGGGGGACAAAGGTTGGCACCCAACAGTGGACTGGTCCATTTGAATGAATGAGCCAGGATCCATCTGTGGAATTGATGTGTGATACCGAGGCTCTGAGTTAGAGGAAGAAGTGGGGTATCCTCTGTTCCTTGTGTGACAGGAAGTGGCACCAATGAGACTGGGCTATGACAACCCTAGACACATTTATAGAGCTGTCTGGGGAAGAACTCAACTGACATGTGAAGGTCAGGGAACCCAAGGCATCTCTGCGGGCGGAGGCTGGGGCCAGAGTCCTTGCCACGGGAAGGTTCCTCTTGGGTTTGCAAAAGTGGGAGAGCATCGTCTCTTCTCTCTCCTTAGAGACTGAAGTATGGAAACAGCCTGTAGACTGCAAGGCAGAAGACAAGGCCCAGATACCCATGAGACCCTCTCCGTGGGAATGCTGAAACATCTATCATGATACAAGAATCCAGGTAGGCATCCTCCCTCCGTTTCCTGCCTTTGCTTTTCTTACCCTCCCATTTTTCTCCATCCTCCTATGGCCAAGGTTGCTTCCCCAACCATGCCTTGGCACCAGTCAGCTGCACCCTTTTGTTTCCATGGATGGAAGTCAAGAGTGGACATAGAGTTTAGTGTGGGTGTCCCAGGCCCTAGAGTGCCAGTGATTGCTGAGCAAGACTGACAAACTCAGAGCTTACAGCTCCATGCCCTGACAATTCAAGGCTTATGTCTCTAAGCTTTAGAAGCAAGGGACTTATAGCTCTAGGTGCTGTATGAAGGAGCTTATGGCTCTGGGCTTGGTCTCTGCAGCCAGGGGCTCAGAAGCTGGTATAACCTTGGGCAGCTGGGGTAACCCTCCTCTCTCAGTGGTATCTGTGGTTGGTGTCAGTGTTACAGCTCTGAACCTTGGGTGTCAGACATATGGCTTTCACAGTGGCTAGTGTTGCAGTCCCTGGGCCTCAGGCATCAGGACACTTGAAGTTAAAAGCAGCCAGTGTTATCTCTCCTGGACCTTGGGTATCCAGACCCACAGGCCTCAGGGCTTCTCAGGTTCCTGGAACTCTTCTGGTAACAAGGACCCACAATCCTTCTTTTTGGCTCTTCACAGGCTTCAACCCTCTCTCTGCTTCTACAGTCCTCTGTCGCCTCTGCTGCCTTTGCTCCCTGCCATCCCTGCCCCCAGCCTCTGTCTGGAACTCATCAGTGACCTTCGCATTACTCCTGTCACAGTTGCTGCCTCTACCGCCAAGGCACCTGCTGCCACCTTCACCTCCACCCGGCTGCCACCATCTCCTCTCTGTGCTAATGGCCTAGTCCTCTCCACCCACGAAACACACCACAAATAGTTAGGAAGAGAGCACTCTGGGGGAGTCAGGGGCCGCACAAGAAGGTGTCTCCCCACTGACTCAAAAAGCTAGCAGAGCACAGTGCTCAGAAGAGAGAGGCAGGTGAATCTCTGTGAGATTGAGGCTAGCCTGGTCTAAGTGAGCTCCAGGCCAGCAGGGGCTACAGGGAGACACTGTCTTCAAAATAAAACAAAAAAAGTAAAAGCAACCTGTTATCTATCCAAACACAAGCTTTCTGTGGAGTCACCAGGGAAACATTCCTGGACTGTTGACCCATTCCTGTTACCCCCTCTCCTGAGTGAGAATAGCCATAGGGCAAGCAGGGTGGTGGCTAGAGTTCTCTGGAGTCTGTGGTGGCTGAGGCCAGTGCAAATTATCTGAAGTCGTGACTGGAGCAGGGCCTCTTGCAGCAGGATTCAGGACACAGTGAACAGCTGGAAGGCCCCACCAGACACTGGATGTGCTGACACTCAGATCTCGGGCTTCCCAGCTTCCGGGACTGTGAGTGGTAAATGTCACCCAGTCTATGATATCCTGTTACCGCATCTTGAAGTGACTAAGACAAACCTGCTTGTGACCACGGCACCCAACAAAAACAACAACAACAACAACAAAAAACCCTCAAAGTTGATATGTTGGAGACAAAGCTACTTAAAGTACTTTGAATATTCCAGAGCACTTGATGCAATGACAGGAACAGCTATTTGGAGAAAAAAAAAAAGAGAGAGATAGGACAAGGAGCTATAAGATATAAATATTCTGCTCTTGCCATTTTGTAAGGCTGTCCGGAGCCACAGGATTTATGTCCGGATGTGGACTTTCAGACACAGCCATGAATGAGGGGGCGCCCGCTTGTCTCCTGGGTCCAGTCCCATTCCTTGTCTTGGCGCCCCAGACACCTGGGAGCCACCACTACTTCCGATCCTTTGCATCCAGACCAACCCAGTTCCTTCTCCTGGTCCCCAGGAGCCCTCTGGGGACCTCCCTCTGCTTCCCTGGGCTGCACAGCCCACCAGCCTGTTTCCTGGATGCAGGGGCTGAGCTCTTGGCCTGGGGCCACGACTGCTTCCTGATCCCTTGCATCCAGATGGACCCAGCTTACCAGACCCTCAGCTCACCTGTCCCCCAAGCCCCAGTTCACTTATCCCAGTCTACTGCCCCTAGCCTACCTGCTCCCAGCTTACCTACCCTAGCTAACCTACCTCTCCCAATCTCTACAGGGCTGGCTTCTAATGGATGCTGACAGCCTCCATCTGGGCACTAGGAATCTATGGGCCTGGCTTGTAAGGCTGCTGAGCAAACACCAAGAATGGCTGAACACCAAGATGAAGTTCTTTCTCCCTACCATGGACCTGGGCTTCAGCAATGAGGTCCCGGACCCTGAGCAGAGAGTCATCCAGCAGCTTAGCAAGCTGCACGCCCAGGGCCTAGCCACCTGGCAGTCGTTCATCTATGGCCTATGCATGGAGCTGGAGGTGCCTCTGGATCTGGAGGTGCCGCTGCTGAGTATCTGGGGCCAAGAAGATGGTAAGAGCCCATGTGGGGAGTACAAAGCAGCCAACCTAGCCCTGTGCCCTGTAGAGCTATGGCACACCCAGGAACCTACCTGACCACACAGATGTAGTGAAGCCAACCATTTCAAATACCCACAGTGTAATTGGAGCAGTGATAGGGAGACCTCAACCTCTCCCAACAAGCAAGCAGGTTTATTGCTCCATTCAGCGGGCATTGCTTGGGCGCCTGCTTGCACAGCACTGAGGAGGAACAGGAGACACTGAGGGGCAATGGAGTCCTTGGATAGAAAGTGGAACTTGGGGCCGGAGAGGTGGCTCAGCAGTTAAAGAGCACTGGCAGAGGACCTGAGTTCAGTTCCCAGCACACGTATGATAGCCAACAACCATCCACAACTCCAGTTCCAAGGAATCCAACTCACTCTTTTGGTCTCTGTGGGCACGTGGTGCACGTGATGCACTTACATACATGCAGGCAAACATATACACAAAAAATCAAAATAAATAAATGAAAAGAATTTTAAAAGAAAGTGAGAACTCAACCAAGAGCTCTACCAGTTGTGGGTGCGGGGACACACACACATATGTACACATGTACAGATAGCACATGGATACAAATGTGTGGAAATGGATCTGCACTGACTTGTACATATACACATACACTGCTGCCCATCACTGCCCGCAGGACTCACCACCAGCTTCCCCAGCAGGGGTCAGCTTTATTTCTATGGAAGCTATGGTTGAGCCTCAAGTAGATACCAACTAGAGCTGCCCAGGTACCCCACAGCCCATGTACTTCATCCAGCATCCCCAAGGCATGATGTACTCTTCCCTGTCTTGCAGAATTCTCCACCCAGCTAGAAGCTGGTGAGGAGAGCCAGCCTGGATCTCAATTCCACCCTGGTGAGGCCTGGGACTGGGGGTTGGGGGGCTAGGTCCTGGGAGGATGGGGGTGCAGGCTTAGCTGCAAAATGCCTACCTTAAGATGAAGGAAGCTCAGGACTGGAGAGATGCCTTAGCAATTAAGAGTACTGGCTGTTCTTCCAGAGGACCTGGGTTCAGTTCCCAGCACCCACATGGTGGCTAACAACCATTCAGAACTCCAGTTCCATGGGATCTTATGCTGTCTTCTGACCTCTGCAGGCATTGCATATCATAGGTACACTTACATACATGCAGGCAAAAACACTCATACACATAAAATAAATCTAAAATAAATTTTAAAGAAAAGATGGAGGAAGCTGGTATGTGGTGGCTTAAGTAACAGCCATTTCCTCCTCTGCACATGAAGCACACCCCACTTCCTCCAACTTTGCCCCACTGCCCATTACCAGAGGATCCCCGTCAGATGCTACCCAGGGAACCTGCTCTCATATTTCTATCCTTACTTCAGGGAACTGTGGAAAGGTGATACTCCATGACAGCTATGCACATGGATGTGGGACAGATTATAGACTCAGACAAGCCAGCGGAAGCTTGACTCTCACAGTCATGTCTCCATAGCCTGGTCCTTCCCTGGTAGACATAGTGCTTGGAATGCCCAGCTGTGAGCCTGCTCTCCACATGCTGGGTGGGAAACCCCAGGTCCAGAGGCTGCAGCTCCTCAGCAAGTCTATGGAAATAGCCTTTACCAACCACTTTCTCACAGTCCTGGAGTGTCACATGCTTTTCTGCCTGGGTCTTTTTGTAGAATAGAGCACCCCCAAAGGTGTTTCCTGAACACCCAGTTACTCCTCCATCCCCTTCCTTCTCTCTTTCCAGGCCTCAAGCGCTCTCATCAGAGCTGTGGGTCCTCACCCTGCCGGAAGCACTGCAGGAAACAGCAGCTAGGTGGGTTATGGGGAGCAGGATAAGAACTTGGTTGTCTTGAGACCTGTCACAGATAGATCCTGGGCCTTGTTTATAACTGGAAAGTCTCTGGAGCCCAGTGGCTTGTCTTCAAGCTTCCAGGAGAGAAAGATTGAAAGTTCTAGATGAGCAGAGGAAAAGATTGGATGTTTCAGGGACAGCCTTGATGTCTGGGCTCTTTCAAGGACACACTGTCCTCAAGATTATGGAGTCCCAGGGTGGTAACTGGCATGATCTCAGGTCTGGGTCCTTCGTGGCCAGGTTGGGGTAAATGGGAATGGGGATGATGAGGGTGCCTGGGAGAACCCCTAGGTACAGAGCCCATGGGGACACAGGGCACTGAGGCCAGACCATGGGAAAAAGGAGACAGGGAACCTCACTCATTCTCCAAAATGGTCCTTGACCTGGCCTCCACATGCACATACACTCCCGCAACCATGGGCACAGCCAGAAGATTCTCATCTCTACAAAATAGACTACTACCTCAGTCCTTCTTGGGGGTGAGGGGAATTGAGTCTTTTTAATGACCTGGGAAGGAAGAGATTAACACTTGGCATGGCAGGAACCTAGTTCCCATAATCTGATTGACCAGTGTGAAGCTCACAGGTTCTTAGGGCTCACTCTTGAGGGAGGGACATAGAGCATGCCTATGTCACCAGAAGAGGCTATTTCAGTATGAGGTTGCAAAGCAAGTGCCTTCCCAAGCTAATTGAAAAGTACACTACCTGCATTGCCCCAGAACACAGAGGCATGACCCATGTGACCTCCCTCGGTAGTGGCTACAGGGCCTGTGCTGCTGTGGAACCACTCCCTCTGGGAACTTGGGTAGCCTAAGAACCCCACTGTGACTTGCCACCTTCCCCCGTGCACACACTACTGGGGTTAGAGGCTATCAGCAACCTCATCATGCAGTCTTAGTATGTTCATGGAGTATGATGGAGTTTGGGGGCCCTGTCTTCATGCCATTGTTGTATCCCTTGCAGAGTTGGCCAGGAAGTACCTACAGCTCCTGAAGACCTTTGCCCAGCAGCGTTATGGTGGCAAATGCCTTGGGCCAGAGCATACCCTCACCTCCCAACAGGCCTTCATTCCCCCTATCCTGCAGTGGAGCAAGGCCACAGCACCCTTGGATGCTCGGGAAGGAGCCTCTATGGGGGACCCTGGGGCAGCAGATGACATTGACATGAGCATCCAAGATCTCTTCAACTTCAAGGCCCATAAGGGCCCACGAGTGACAGTACTCCTAGGGAAGGCTGGCATGGGCAAGACCATGCTGGCCTATCAGCTCTGCCGGAAGTGGGCTGACGGCCAGCTAGACAACTTCCAGGCCTTGTTCCTTTATGAATTCCGCCAACTCAACATGATTACACATTTGCTTACATTGCCTCAGCTCCTTTTTGATCTGTACCTAAGCCCGGAATCAGGCCCTGACGCTGTCTTCCAGTACCTGGAGGAAAATGCCTGTCAAGTCCTACTGATCTTTGATGGACTGGATGAGGCTGTTGACCCCTGTTCTAGTAACAAGTCTGTGGGTGCTGACAGTGTAGGGTCAGCCCTCACTCTCTTCTCAGACCTTTGCCGTGGGACCCTCCTGCCAGGCTGCTGGGTGATGGCCACCTCCCGTCCCGGGAAGCTGCCCACATGTGTGCCCACAGAGGCAGCTATGGTGTACATGTGGGGCTTTGATGGACTGAGGGTAGAGAAGTATGTCAGCCACTTCTTCAGTGATCTACCGTCACAGAAGTTGGCCCTGGCAGAGATGAGAACCAATGAGCGTCTCTGGGGCATGTGTGCAGTACCTGCGCTATGCAGGGTCGCCTGCCTCTGCCTCCACCATCTGCTTCCTGGAAGCTCCCCAGGCCAGTCTGCGGCTCTCCTGGCCACCATGACCCAGCTCTATCTACAGATGGTACTAACCTTTGGCTCCCACAGAACTGCCACATCCTTGTTGGACCTAGGAAAGGTAGCCCTGAGAGGACTGGACACTGGGAAGGTTATCTTCTCTGCAGAAGATATCCCTCCTCCCCTGATGGCCTTTGGTGCTGCCCACAGCCTGCTGACCTCCTTCTGCATCTGCACCACCCCTGAGCACCAAGAGACAGGCTATGCCTTTGCCCACCTCAGCCTGCAGGAGTTTTTAGCTGCCCTGTATCTGATGGCTAGTGACAGCGTGGACAAAGATACACTCATCCACTATGTCGCTCTCAATTCCCACTGGGTATTGAGGACCAAAGCTAGACTGGGCCTCTCGGACCATCTCTCTACCTTTCTGGCAGGCCTGGCATCCCACAACTGCTGTCAGTTCCTCAGCCACCTGGCTCAGCGGAATGAAGCCTGGGTGAGCTCCAGGCAGGCTGCTGTTGTCCAGGTGCTGAGGAAGTTGGCCACCCGCAAGCATACTGGGCCAAAGGTAGTAGAGTTGTGTCACTGTGTGGCTGAGACCCAGGAGCCAGAGTTGGCCAGACTCATTGCCCAAAACCTCCCTTTCCAATTCTCCTTCCACAATTTCCCACTGACCCGTGCAGACCTGGCCTCACTGGCCAGCATCCTGGAACAGAGGGCTAGCCCCATCCACCTGGATTTTGATGGTTGCCCACTGGAGCCCTACTGCCCTGAGGTTCTGGTAGGCTGTGGCCAGGTGGAAAATCTCAGGTGAGTCAGGGCAGAGGAAGGCTAGGGAGGGTTGTGGAGGGCATTGGGCTTTGGGAGAGTGGTTGCCAACCAGCCTGCCAGAGAGACTGGATTCATGTCTTAGCTATCAGAAAAAGAATGGTCCTATCCCTGCCGAGTGTGTAATATAGGTGGGGAAGCTCTGTGCCTCAGTCTGGTCTCCGGAGTCTAGTTGTACCTTCTTGCCTGTGACTTCCTGACTCTTGTACTATCTCTGGCATTCATGGACTGGAGTCTCGGATCTAGGCTGTGCTACTCTCCGGTGTTATGTAACCTCCCTCGGCATTTCTCCATCCCTGTAATGAGTTTATAAGTCAGGGAGCCTTCCTGAGAATGAGATGGGATAATGTATGGCAGATTCCTCTCAGTATGGATTATGGCCCAGAGCCAAGGCTCCGTGTCTGTATCAGAGAAGGAACAAGGCTTTGGTCCCAAAGCAATCCTCTGCAGATATAGAGGACGAAGTCCCCTAGGATTGTATGTCTCTGTCATGGAAGTGTCAGAGGTAGGTGGTCCAAGTTGGTAGATGGCTCTGCTCCATGTGGTCACACAGGGACCCATGTTTTCCCACTCTTGCTCCAGCATCCCTTCAGGTGTCCCAGCTGCTGGATCAAAGCTGGGTCATGAGTGTCCCTATACCCCGGCTCCTTGGAGGAAGGGAAAGGGTGACCATGGAAGAATGTGTTGTGGTTGTCCTCTTCCTCCCCTCTCCCTCCTCTTCTTCCTCCCCTCCTATTCCCCCTCCTGTCCCTCCTCCCTTTTCCTTCTCCTCCTTCAAATCAACACCACAGTTTATTTGTAAACACGTTATATGTGTCAGTAGTCTGACAACACTTTATACATTTCAGTGTATAATATTAGCTTCATAACTAAGCAGTCTGCTTTTTTGTGTTACAGTTTTGTTACTTAAATGGGCTGGAGCCTTTAAAGGCTAAGGCTAACAACCAAAATGTTAACAGAAGCTATTTAAAACACTGAACATAAAAAAAGGTACATTAACATAGAGAAAACAAAATAATCATGTAAAAGAAACAAATATTCCTTTCCCCCATAAAAAGCAAATGCAAAATCACTTGATTTTTGTTGTTGTTGTGTTTTGTTTTGTTTCGTTTTATTGGATAAAGGGTCTTACTGTACCCCTAGCTGGTCTGCAATTCAATATGTACACCAAGCTTGGCCTCAATTTCACAGAGATCTTCCTGCTTCTGCCTCCTGAGTACTGGAATCAAAGGCATGCATCACCACGCCTGGCCTAATTATATGTTTTTAAAAAGAAAAACATTAAGGAAATTAGATCTTATTTTTTAATCATCCAAAGTTGAGTTTCTTTAGACCTATTAGGTGAAGTTGTAACCTCTGCTAAATTCAGTGGCCATTTTGACAATTAGCTCTTTTTAGTTGTTACTGTTTCTAAAGAGTGTTTGCTGGGGCTGAGAAGGTGGCTCAGTGGATAAGAGTGCTTGCTGTCAAAGCAAGAGGACCTGGATTCAAATCCCCAGCACGCCTATAAAAGCTGGGCGTAGCCATTCAAGCTATGCCTGATCCCAGCATTAGGAGGCAAAGACAGCAGATCCTAGGAGCTCACTGGCCAGCCAGTCTAGGCAAAACAGTAAACTTCAGGTTAGTGAGAGACCCTGTCTCAAAAAAATGGTGAGGAGTGATAAAGACACTCAACATCTTCCGCTTCCACATGTGTGCATGGTACACACCACACACAAAGGATATTTGCTTGCCATGGTCTAAACTACATATAACTATATTTCTATGAAGTGGAGAATGAATTTGATAGATGAGGGAGTCAGTGCAGTGACCTGTACTTGTTGCCACCCCAACAACTACAGTGAAGACTATTACTATTATATCAAGCCCCATCTCTCAGAGGATGGGGAGCTGACGAGCACTAAGCCCTGCCCAGCACTGACCCTTGACCACTCTGCTTCTCTCCTGCAGCTTTAAGAGCAGGAAGTGTGGAGACACCTTTGTAGAGGCCCTGTGCAGGAGCTTGCCAACCATGGGGAGCCTGCAGACACTGGGGTGAGCCAGGGCTTGTGACCAAGAAAGATCTTCAAGTGTGAATGCCTGGCACACTCCTCCCCACTTGTCAATGCAGATGGATTCCTGTCCAGCCTCCTTCCCCAACCCCATTCCTCCCCACCATCTTTGCTTGCCCTGTAGGTTAACAGGAAGTAAGATCACTGCCCGAGGCATCAGCTACCTGGTGCAGGCTTTGCCGCTCTGTTCCAAGCTAGAGGAGATCAGGTGAGTGATATTCTGGGTCATTTCCCAGCTTTCAGGACACCGCTAGGTGTCCTGCATGAGGGGCTGCATCAGAGACTGACCAGCAAAGACTCAGAGACTAAGACATCTGCCCAAAACCAAGATGGGTTAAATCCCAAAGAAATCCTCCCAGATCCTGCAGCAGGGTAAATATTCTGGGCCACCTTGGAGGATCATGGATTTTGAGGCTCACTTTCCTCCTTCAGTGACCCTAGGAGAAGGGATTACAGTATCTATGCAGAAAGCAGCTACCATTGGTACCAGAGATGCATACGCCACACACCTTCACTTGGGTATGCACTTGTACAGAAGCACACACTCACCTACTCAAGACTGTCATATGCCTGTTCACAGATGTGCACATATGTGGCATACATAGACACACTTAGATGCAGCACACATTGGATGAGCACATCTGTACAATGTACGCCTTCCCTGTATCTGGAACTGATTACTCCAGAGAGAGGTGGGGTCAGGGACCCTCCTCTTCAATCTCATATGGATCCTTCCTGAGATTCAGAAAAGGAGCCCCTGGGTTCAGGCAGGTTCTTCCTAACACTAAGATACAGCACTTACTGAGTTGAACATAAGCGGGACAATTCCTCCTGTGGTCTCATCTGAGTGCCTTTGGACAGGGGTCACTCAGGTTGGAACAAAAGTTTGAACTATTGATCCTGCTGAAACTTTCTTTCCTAGTTACTGAGAGTGACCTTAATCTTTGCCTCCATCACCCTTCTTTTATTTACTATTTTAATTTTATGTGTATGAGTGTATTGCCTGCACGTATGTGAGTGTACCCATGTCATGCAATGCCGCGGAGGTCAGAAGAGGGCTTCAGATTCCCCTGGAACTGGAGTTAAGGATGGTCCATAGCCACCATGTGCTGGGAATCAAACCTGGGTCCTCTGCAAGAGCAGTCAGTGCTCTTAACCACTGAGCCATCTCTCCAGCCCCTTTTTTATTTTTTAACTTTCCTCCTGTTGCTCTCAATCAGTCTCACACCCCTCAGTTGATCTGTCCCTCTAGCTGGGAACACAGGCAGGGGCAGTGAGGTCTGAGAGGACTGTGCTTGTCCTGGGCTCTGGTGAGACTGGAAGCAAGAGTCTCCAGCATCCCAGAGACTTCGCTCCTCCTCTGAGGGCTAGGAGATGCTGACCAGCTTGGACTTGGGCACACTGCAGACCCGGCCCTGGGAGCAGGCCTCCTTATTCTACTTCATAAGACTTTCACAATCTGTCGTCTAGATCCCTTGGGTTTCCAGGCAGAAAGTCTCCAACAAGGGCAGAAGTGTGACCCAGAGAGGCCCTTGCCTCCTTGCTGGATGACTAGGATCAAGTGGCCCATTTTTTCTGAGCCCATGTCTCCCATGAGGGTGACCATGACTGTCACTCATCATCACCTGGGGCTTCCAAATGCCCATCCCCACAGCTGAGGGCTTTGGTCTTTGTCTCCCTGCAGTTTGCAGGATAACCAACTCAAGGACCCAGAGGTGCTGAGCCTTGCAGAGCTTCTCCCTTGCCTGCCACAGCTCCGGAAGCTTGAGTAAGTGGTCTTTCCTCCCAGCCAAGCTCCTCTCCTGTCCTGAGGCACACCCTCTTTGCAGACCATAGGAAGGGAACCCACCCCTGATGCTTTTGACACAATCATGCAGCCTGAGCCGAAACAGCTTCTCCGTGTCAACCCTATTGTCCTTGGTGAAGGTGGCCACCACGTGTCCTACTGTCAGGAAGCTGCAGGTCAGGTGAGCAGAAGGAATGGGATCCTGGCCTTCAAGGTCTTGAGAAACAGGGAAGGATGGGAGGAGGTCCTTAGCCTACAAGAACTGTGTTTGCATGCCAGAGCCAGTTTAATTTAGAACTGTGACTCTAGAACCTTGCTCAAGTCTAATGCTTAATAAATAGTGAATGGATGGATGGGTGGATGGATGAGTAAATCTCTGAAGTACAGGTGTAGTAGCTAAATTAATAATTAGCTGCCTGCCGCTCTCCGTGGTGCTGAAGCATGGTTGTGGGTTTGGATTGCTGTATGGGTGTGAAGCTTCCTAATCTTAAATGATTATAACTTATACAATTATAGTTATACAAATATAACTCCCATTAAAAAACCCTCAAAGGGCATGGTGGCATGTGTTTGTAATGCCAGAGTGCAGGAGGATCAGGAGTCTAAGGCTAGATTTGGATACATAGGGAGTTCAAGGCCAGCCTGGTTTACTTTAAATCCTGTCTTAAGAACAAAACAAAACAAAACCCAAAATAAAACCCCAACCAAACACTCTCTTTGCAAGCAGTGGTGTAAGATTTTACAGCCTGAGTTGGAGAGCTTTTGCCAGTTGTCTTATGTTTCTGCGTCAATTAGGAAATGAGCTTTCCTTGGGTGACTGGAGCAAGTAGGGTGACCAACTGGAGCAAGTAGGGTGACCAACTGAAGCAGTAGGGGTGACGTGCTGGCTTCTGGGTTCCTGGGTTTCATGGATTTGTGTCTGACTCTTTAGGGAATCGGACCTCCTCTTCCTTCTTTCCCCGCTCACAGAGACAATTGAACCAGGGTAAGAAACTGGGGAGATTTCTGTGGAGTTGACTCAACATGGGAGTGTGTGTGTTTGAGGGGGGGGTGCTACAGAGTCTTCAGCCCCTAGAAGCCAATAGAAGATGTTTCAGTCCATTGGGACTGGCTCCTGAGCCCAGACCACTGTGTGATCTGTTCTTTCTAGAGCTTCAAGCCTACAGGACAAAGACAGCCTGTGGAAGGAAGGACAGGGTCAAAGCCTAGCACTCAGGTACCTCAGTGGGGCCCACTGCCCTCACAAAGGGAAAGCAAGAAGGGAGGGAAAAGGAGAAAGCAGATGGAGGGGCAGGGGAAAGGCACACGTAAGCAGTGGTAGTAACAACAGTTGAATGAGCTCTTGTGAGCCCTTGTTGCATGTGGGTCTCTGTGTTCAGAGTTTCATGTCTAGGGCCTCATGGGAAGCCTTTCGGAAGCCCTATGAATGATACATATTACTCCACTTTAGTAGAGGAGGAAACTGAGTCACAGGCAGATTAAGACCTTGCTCAAGGTCACTCCACTATTGAGAGGCATACAGACCCCAGATCTGTATCCTCAAGACTCCCTGACTCAGAACTAGAGAGAACATATTTTGTTCCCTTGAGACCCTCTGTCTTCTACCCTTATTCCAGGCTCCAGAAATGTCAGCTCAGGGTCCATGATGCAGAGGCCCTGGTGGAACTGTTCCAGAAAGGCCCCCAGCTGGAGGAGGTGGAGTGAGTATCCTGGGAAGCGGGAAACTGAGGCAGGAACCAGGGGGAGGCTGGGAAGAGCAGACAAGGCCTCATCTTTGTGTGGGTGGTGCAGTGACAGCAGGCTGACTCCTGAAGGATTTGGGGACAGTCATTAAAGAAACAGTCATAACGCTATGCAGCATTGTCCCGTGTGGGGTGCTCAGCTAGGGGCTGTTATGCACATGGTATTTTATCCTCTCATTTCTGTGATGCTAGTCTGTCTATACCCACATTTTATAGAGAAGGAAATGAAGACAGGGGTCAATTTGCTCAAGGTCACATAGGAATATTCTGGGCTGATGCTCCCACCCCATCCTTATGACCATTGCCACCTCATCCATGACCATCAGTAGAGTGGGGTTCTCTTTGCACCTGGATGACCCATTCTTTACGGGCTAGAGAAGTTCCATGATGCCTGGATCCTGAGCAGGGCTGGAGGACTGGTAGTGTTTTTGCCATGTGATAAGAAGGGAGCCCGACCAGGACAGTCCCAGAAGTCCTCTAAAGGGCATGAAAGTGGAGTGATGGATGTTTGAAGTGTTTGGGGGTGAGTTGGCCCCACCCTGGAGTGAAATAGATAGGCTAAGGGCTGCCTTGCTGATCAATTGTTGGTCTGTGACTGTCTCAATGGTAGATCCAGGAACACTATTTGAAGACATGGAATATTTCTAGCCACTTGGCCACCACTGAGCCTGTCCTGGTTCCTTAAGTTGCAGCACCAACCCCACCCCACCTGTTTAGATAGATAAAAACCCTCCTAGTTCCCTTGCTGTCCCCTATTGTCAGTCCAACTTCAATAGCTCTCACACCTAGCCCCTTTCTTCAGCTCTCTTGTTAGAACCTCCTCATCTCTCACCTGGTGATCCCATCAGCTTCCGGGTCACTGGTTCCCTGCTTCCATGTCAGTCACCTCTTCCTAATAGAATAAACTAAACTGTCTCACTGCTGCCTGTGCCCTTTACTCCCTCCCACTACTCAGGAAAATCCCAAATCCCCCAATCCTATGGGGCTCAGAAGCTTTCCCCATCCTCCCCCCCCCGCCTCCCCATTGCCTCCACTCAGTCTTTAGACTAAACACACTGGCTTCCTCTGAGTGCTGGTATGGACTATGCCACATGGCCTTTGAATGTACTATTCCCACTACCAGGGAATACACTCCACAACCCCCTCACGTCTCTCCCCTACTGTTTACCTGTGGAACTCCTAGAGGTTTCTAGCAAGTAGTTCAAACATCAAGAAAGCCTCCCTCACTCCCAGGCTGAGTCAGATGACCCCAAAATCATGAAGTTTATCACAAGGAGCAAGTGTGCATATTATAGCATATAAGAATAATCATGAGTGGGGCCTTCAAGTCAGGCTTCTTGGATTCAAACCCAAGCCTACCCTTGAGCAAGACCCTTAAGGGCTCTGTGTCTCAGTTTACTCGGCAGTAAGATGAAGATATTCTAGTGCCTGCTCATAGGACTATGAGGATTAAACATGCCACACTTGTAGATGCGCCAAGACCATTGGCAGATGTAGAACATGCAGCCTGTCCCTCCTAGTTAGCATAAGGTTCATTTGTAGGAGTGAGGCTCCGACTAAAGTCAGGGAGGGCCTGCATGAGTGAGGGCCCATGACCCTTCTGTCTTAGTCTCTCAGGAAACTATCTGGAAGATGAAGGCTGTCGACTCATGGCAGAGGCTGCATCACAGCTGCACATTGCCCGGAAACTGGAGTGAGTTGCACACCCCACTCTTGACTCTCCATACCCTGGAGACCCTGTTCTGGTCCCTGCCCACCCCAGGTCCCCACACATAGTCAGCAGTAGTGGCCCTGATCCACCCAGCTTTCTCCCTCACCAAAGTAGGGAGGTTGACCCTAGCTTGCTCTTGCCTCTGCCCTGAGCCACTAGTATCCTCGTTGTCCAACTCCTTGCCGTGGATAACATGTCCACGGCACATCTGGCTCACAAACCAGGTCATGAAACAGCTCCAGGAGGCAGGGGTGTTGCACTGGGCAGAGCTGAGGTACCAAGTAGGTGGATGCTGGGCTGTTAAGTCAAGGGGTTAGGGGAGAAAGTCCTGTGTTAGGCTGGGGTGCAGGCGTAGGCTGTTAGGGTGGTGAAACAAGAAGGCGGGGTATGCTGTGGTATGGAACTGGGGCAGACATGGTGTTTGGGTGGGCTGTGGTGGTGTTGGGGTCTTAGGGTAACATTTGGGTTGGATAGGGACTAGAGATTGGTGAAAGTAGTTTGGGGCTTCAGCTTTGGCTGTGAGACCTCTGGGCCTCAGTTTCTCCATTTGTGAAATGGAGTTAAATGAGACTGTGTGTGCCTCAAACCCTTGACACAGAGAATGCTGTCAGCACTCCATAGATGACAGTTATTTCATAGACCAGGAAACTTAGTCTTGGAGAGGTGAAAACCCTGGAGCAGTTCTTATGGATTGAGCCCTTTGGGGGACCCTGGTTGGGGAATGATGACAGCCAACAAGCTTCTGAGCCATAATGAGGGGGCTAGAGCTTCCTGGGGCCATGGATCTTGGTGACTGCTGATACCACCTCCCCCTCCTCTCCACAGCCTCAGCGACAATGGGCTCTCTGGAACTGGGATGGCCTACGTGTTGAGGGCCATGGGCTCGTGTGGGATGCTGGCAGAGCTGTACATCAGGTGGGAGCCCCCACCAGCCACTGTCACCGCACTTGAGCCTCGAACCCCTAGCCCTGAGCTCAGGGCCTTCATATCACGCTCTCTGAAGGCCTCTGAATTCTTTCTGGTCTCATGCCTTCAGACCCCTAGAGGTTGTTGCTGGGGCCCTGCACAGCCCCCTTTCCAGCTCTGACATCAGTATAGCCACTGCTGATCCCATGGGTCTCCCTTAGAGAGCTGCCTGGGGCTGGAAGCAGTAGTAGCAGAAGCTGAGGTGCCCTCTCCAGCTTCTCGCCTCAGCTGAGACAAACAGTGCAATGCCCTCTGTGTGACCAGCTCCTGTGGGATCAGGCTGGATCCTGTCCCCTTCAGTTTCCTTCAGTCCTTTTCTGGCTTCTCCTGAGAGCAATCTCCCAGGATGCCAAGTGACATTTGATCTCCTGCTTCCCTGGCCCACCCTCAAGTCTGTGTCTATTCAGTACAGGGAGCTGAGGATAGGTGTGAATTAATGTCAATAGTCACTGCTTTATAGGAAGCCTCAGTCTTGGCTCTTAGCTACATGGGAGGCTCCTGTTTTATGAACCCCTCAAGGAGCAAGAGAAAACCAGATTCACCCACAAGGTAGATTAGGTTCTTCAGTCACAGTCATCACAGTGATGTGCTTCAGGTCTTGGGGAACAGCACCCACACACAGCCCAAAGTGCTACGAGCACCCGGAGCAGAGAGGGCACACTTCAGCCTAAAACATAAACCAGGGAGAAGACAGAATCTGAAATACCTGTAACAGGAAGCTTCAAGCCCCAGAGCCTTAGAGGAGGTCATGGGAAGAGGCTTAGCTAGGGCAGGATGGTACCTTGGGAACGCCCCGCCCATCCCCAACAGGGTTAAATGAAGACACAAGCAACGAGGATGGTAACCTCTGTCCCTTGTTCCTCTCTTCTGTCTCCAGCCTGCTGAGCAATACGGTGGTACTCACATTTGCTTATGAGTCAAGGGAGCAGGAGGGGAGCTGGAAGAGGTAGGGGCCCAGTATCCACTGCACACCTCTCAGGGATGGGGCCACACCCTCCCTGACCCACGGAGACCTTGACAAGAATATACAAAGGGAGGCTGGGATGTAGCTCAGTTGATAGAGTGCTTACCTAGCATGTATGAAGTCCTGGGCCCAGTTCCCAACACTGCACAGGTATAGTGGTACACATAAGATGCATGAGACAAGAAATGAACTCACCAAGGAACAGGAAGTGAACAGGCTTGGCCAGGGGCACAGCTTTGAAGATGAAGGAGCAGACAGCAGACTGCAGAGAACCCTGAGACGTAGGATGTGGCTACAGGCCACTTCACGCTGACCTTCAGTCTAAACCCAGATTGTGGCCTAGCTGGCCTGGAGCTCTGATTTGGTCAGAACTTCTGGTTTCCTTTGGTACAAGGATCCTTCAAGGGGTGTTGACCTCCCTCCCTCATGTGACTTCCAACACGTGGGCCAAGGCTCAGCTCTGCACCTTGGTGTCTGTCTACCCAGGAGCTCTTGCAGAGTCTGAACTTTGAAGGCTGGTTGGAGGTGGAGCTAACAACTCTCCCATACCTGATGATGATGATGATGATAATGATAATAATGGTGGTGGTGGTGGTGAGAGCAACCAGGGTTAACTGGGCATTTGCTACATGTGCAGCCAGTGCTAGATTAAGACAACTCATGTATGCCACATTACCTGAGGGAGAGGCCAGTGTTCTGTTCCAGGTCATATACCAGGCCAAAGTCCCAATGACCCTGGCAGAGCACAAAAGTTGAAAGGTGGACAGTGATGCTGGGGGTGGGCTATGGAGCCAGGGGTAAGTGCGCTCAGCCTGGACTTGCCATGTGTCTCTTCAGGGCACCATTGCTTGTCAGCCGCACACCCCCTGTGGCCTCTGAGCTGTCACTGAGCTCTCGAAGGATCAGGTATAGTAATGGTCTCCAGCCCCTCACATCCTCACCCCTAAGCCTCAAGGCTCAATCTCATAGGCTCTCTGGGGGACACCATGGCCTGCTGTGTCACCAAGTTGTGACCTGGCATCTGCTTGTTACATAGTCCTCCCCTCAGCCAGAGCAGCCCCACCTTGTAATTCCCCAAGCCCTGGACACAGAAGGGCTGGAAGAGGGAGGCCCCTGCATGGAGATGAGAAGAGCCTTGGGCCCCTGATTCCTGATCCTGGACTTCGGCCTGAACTCAGTCAGCCCTGCATGTTCCCAACACTCTTCCCTTTGCTTCTCTGTGTGTCTGTCTGTCTGGAGCCTTTCAGTGTGGCCCCTAGTCTTATCTCTCCTCCTTGGTCTTTTTTTCTCTCACTGTCTCTGTTTCTCTTTATCTGTGCCTCTCTTTCTAGTCTATCTCTATCTCTCCATCCATCTATCTCTATCCATCTCTCTCGGTCTCTACCTATCTCTCTGTCTCTCCCTGTCTCTGTCTCTCTTTCCTCTTGAGTGTCTCTTTTCCTCTCATTCCCAGCCATCCTTCCCGCTGTCTTAGGTATACGGTGTGTCACCTCCTGCCTCCCCTCTATCTCAGTGCCATATGCTGCAATCCTGCCCATTGACCTCTCTGCCTGGATCTGGGGGAGGCTGCCTGTCCCCTGGGTGCAGTGTTGGGTGGACCCTGGAGGACTGTGGATCTTGCCCCTTGCAGGCTGACAAGCTGTGACCTCCAGGCCAAGCACACAGAGAAGCTCTGTGAGGCACTGAGAGCCAGTTGCTACCTCAACCACCTGGGTCATCTTGAGTGAGTGTCAGCATCCAGAAAGATGATGGAGGGGTCGGGGCCCCTTGGCGGGAGAGTGAGTGTAGGTGTCTTGCTTTGTTTTTATTTTTCTCTGTTGATGTCAGGGACCCTACAGAGACCTGGGCAGGATAGTAACTTTCTCCCCAAATACACATCTCACATGGGTACCCTTTGCAGTCAATCCTGGCTTCTAGAAGACCACTGCTCTTGGAAAAAAGCCTGGGAGAAACCCACCCCCACTGCCTCATGTGTGACATGTGCTGAGACTTGGCCTAGCACCTAGGCTGTCCCAGGAGCAGCCAGGTAACAGCACTGCTGTGGAATCAGAACCCATTCTGCCCTCACTAACCTTTTCTTCTTCCCTTCCAGCCTATCAGACAATGCTCTGGGGGATGAAGGAGTGGCCCTGCTGGCCCAGCAGCTCCCAAGCCTGGGTCCCCTGCAGTCCTTGAAGTAAGCAGTCCACCCTCAAGACCTCTGGGTTGCCCTCAGTGGAGGGGGCCATTCTGAGTCTTCTTGCTTCCCTCCTGGGTACATTAAAGATGCAACCAGAAAATGCACATGAAACCCCCTTCTTAGGGCTGAGTTCACATGGGCAAGTGCTTAACAAGGGCAGTGACTGGTGCTCTGCTCATCTCAGCCAGACTAAACACTGACTCATCTCAAAGAGAGACTCCATGTTCCAACTTCTGGCTCCTCAAGGCCTTTCCCACATGGCCTCTATGTCTCTCCACAGGCTCCCAGGGGGCCAGACCACCTGGGCAAACACAGGAATGTGAAGGGTTCTGTGGTACACATGGTGGAAGTGTGGGGGTGCATTGGGTGACAAACAGTTGCAGCAGCCATTCTGGTCCCTGGTTATAGAAAGGGACAGCTTGATGAAACCTGGGCTGGCTAGGCAGAGAGGGTTTATACTGGAAAGGACACCAAGGGTGGTGTCTAGAGCAACCCAAATGTCCAAGCACCTGGTAGACAGACAGGAGGTGTCTAGTATGGGAAGAAACAAGATTCCCCACTCTGCCTGCAGCAGACCCAAGTTCCTAGACTCTAAAAGTCTCCGGTGTTCTTGGATCCCACGTCTCTCTCCTGTTCCCATGCTTTCCCAGGAAGAAATAAGAGGAGCCTGGGTGAGAGGCTCAAGGTCCTGGGTTCCAGGTTGTCTCTGCTATCTATGTGTGGCCTTGGGCAAGTTGTATCACATCTCTGATCCCCTGGTATGTCCGTAAATCCCTAAACAGTGGATGTCGGTCACTGCTTATGGCAATAAGCTCTAGAGTAAGTGCTGGGGCCCAAGGCCTCTTCCTGTGTGAACAGTGTGTTCAGGAAAGGGGGTGACCTCTAATCCTGCTGGGGGGCTTTCCTTTGCAGACAAATGACATGCAGATTGAGTTTGTAGGTATGTCCTTGCAAGTGGCATTCTTAACAGCTACATTCCTGAGTGGCAGGTGCCTATGAGGGGCACGCTGGGCCTGGAAAGTGGGACGTTAAATGGCAAATGAAAAAGATGCCCGACAGGTAAACAGAGATCATGAGCAAAGGGAAAGCTTTGTGCTTGCTTCAGCACAGGAGCCCCCCCATTTTTATCTTGCCCTGAGCCCTACTCCTTCTTGATCAGGTCCAGAGGTAGAGCCCAGCTTTGGCCTGCTTAGAGAGTGAGGGAAGCTCTGAGTTCCAGCCTCAGCTCTAACACCAACATAGCTTGTCACCTTGGGCGAGCCCCTGCCTGTCTGGCCTCCATCTCCTCAGCTGTGTAGTGAAGTTGGAGGGTTTTTATGGGCTCCGTCACTGGCTGTCAGGAACACCCCTATCTTGCCTCTATGCTCTGAGTCCTGGGTGGCTTCTGCCATTGTCACCTTTGTGGTTTCCAGCCTCAGCAAGAATGGCTTGTCCCTGAATGCCGTGTTTGGCTTGGTCCAGTGCATGTCTTCCCTGTCATGGATGTTCCACCTGGATGTCAGGTGGGTGACCTCCCTGCTCCCAGCCCCTCCCCTCATCAGCTCCTGCTGGAGCCCATCCTCTGCCAGATCACCTCAGGTCACCCCTCAGGGCCTCAGCTGGTACCAGGTGTAGTCAACAGGTGCTAGGAGTTCATGAAATAAATGAATGAATGAAAAGTAGGACCCATGCCCCCAGAAATTCACATTTCTCCAAATTCTCCATGGTGCAAAGTCTGTCACCCCTCGGGATTGTCCTCAGATACTCCTAAGTAAGCTGGGAGCTGGCTGTGGCCTTGGGGGTTGGGGATCAGGGACTTGCCCTAATTGTGAGGTCTCCAGAGCTGATGAGGCTGGAAGGGAAGACATCAGCCAGCCCACAGCCCTGGGTCCCTTGATGCAGAACGCCTTGATTGTAGATGGGCTCTGCTATACTTCCCATTTTCTGAGAATCCTCAAGAACAGAGGTGTCCAGGCAGGTGGACCAGAGGGGGCTGCTTTGGAGCTGTGCAGCTGGAAGCATGTCCCTAGACTTGTTGCTGCTTCGGTGTCTGAAGCCTGTCTTCCTTCCCTGCTTCGCCATGAGAGGGCGCTGAGATAACGGACCATGTTTCCTGGAGGGTCTTGGATAACCACAGCTGTCGTTAGAGCCATTGTCGTTAGTCACTGAGGGAGTAGGCCACCCCTGGTCCCCAGGCCTTCCTGAGAAGGGACCCTTGGCCTCTTATCAGCCAGCTGCCTCCTGTTCTTTCAGCTTGGAGAGTGAGCACATCCTCCTACGAGGAGCATGGACAGGCAGGTGAGGAGGGGAGCTCTGGGTCAGTGGACTAGCCCATGGCTCTGGTCCCCACTTCCTGTGGGTGCCCCCATCCCAAACTGACCCTGTCGCCCAAAAGCGACTCCTGAGGTCTGGTGTTTCTTCTGGGGCGGCTGCATCATCTAGTCTGTAAGCAGCTGTGACGCCAGCACCTTAAGCCAATTTAGAATTTTGCAGATGCTCCCAGATGCCCCCTAGTGGCTACAGACCTCTGGGCCTTGTCCCTGGAGGCTGTCCTCAGGTGCTTAAGGAGGGGCCAGCTGGGCAGTGGCTCTCACACCACAGCTAATGTGCCAGACAGTCAGAAGCCAGCCTGGCCTCAGGTCAGGCGGTCTTGCTTCCCCAAACTAGGATTTTTGTGGCCTCTGAAGCCAAAAGAACTGGGACACAGGGAGTCAGACGTCATGGGATGGCTGAGTCGGTGGTCAAGGGAGGGGCTCCATCCTCACACCACTCACCTGGTCAGGAGCTGCCCACCTAGACAGATGTGAATACTGACTTTCCTCGCCCCATCTTCCCTGCCGTGGGCCTCAGTTTCCCCGCCTGTACAATGAGGGACCTTGGCTAGGATGTAGTCTCCAGGACCCCTTCCAGCCCTGCCTCAGAATGTGGGAGACTGACATGGTGGCTCGAGCTCTGTTTTTGCTATGTTTGCCCCTCTCCAAGGGATGCCCTGGCTGGTGCCTATGGACCACAGTTCCTGGCTGGAGCTCAGTTCTCGGAGTTCAGTCCGTCCTGCATCCCCAGGAGCTTCAGGTACTGTCTCCTGCTTCTGTTTGGGGGTTAGGGAATGGGCAGAGCCAAGGGGTCGAGGCTAGAAATTGAGGCATAAGGAAGAGAGTGAGAAACAGGAAAAGCAAAAGGTGTGGGGCAGAGGCCAGTGCTGGGGGCTGCTGGGCCCTTTGGGTCAACTCAGAGGCTCCAAGGCCTGACATTCTCCTTAAAGGGAAGATTCCATATCTCTAAAGCATAGGGAAGCCCAGCCACTCCCTGCCAAGGCTTGCCATCTACTTTTGAGACTTCCATTTCTAGAAAGAGGCTTACTCCTCGAGTTTAAGACTCTTCAAGAAAAGCTGGGGGTGGAGAGAAGATCCTGGTCTGATGTAGTCTCCAGGACCCCTTCCAGCCCTGCCTCAGAATGTGGGAGACTGACATGGTGGCTCGAGCTCTGTTTTTGCTATGTTTGCCCCTCTCCAAGGGATGCCCTGGCTGGTGCCTATGGACCACAGTTCCTGGCTGGAGCTCAGTTCTCGGAGTTCAGTCCGTCCTGCATCCCCAGGAGCTTCAGGTACTGTCTCCTGCTTCTGTTTGGGGGTTAGGGAATGGGCAGAGCCAAGGGGTCGAGGCTAGAAATTGAGGCATAAGGAAGAGAGTGAGAAACAGGAAAAGCAAAAGGTGTGGGGCAGAGGCCAGTGCTGGGGGCTGCTGGGCCCTTTGGGTCAACTCAGAGGCTCCAAGGCCTGACATTCTCCTTAAAGGGAAGATTCCATATCTCTAAAGCATAGGGAAGCCCAGCCACTCCCTGCCAAGGCTTGCCATCTACTTTTGAGACTTCCATTTCTAGAAAGAGGCTTACTCCTCGAGTTTAAGACTCTTCTTCAAGAAAAGCTGGGTGTGGAGAGAAGATCCTGGTCTAGGAGTTAGGGGTCTCCCAGCTGTGCCATGAGGGTCTGTGAGACCCTGGCAGAGCCCTTACATCCTCCACTAAGAGGTACCTAAGCTGGCCCCAACAGAGCTATTCAGGGAGAAGATGCGATGCTCCAGACAGGAGGGCCAGCAAGAGCAAAAGCCAGGAGCAGGGGCAGCCTGGCTCTGAAGCATTTCAGTGTGGCTGGAGCACAGGGGGGTGAGGTTGGGGAAAAGCATTCATTTTTTATTAGTGAGAAGTCATAGAGGGTGTTAAACATTGAAGAGGGCCCATTAGAGTTTTAGTGTTAAGAGGTGAGATCCCTGCAGGATACTGAGGGATTGTGGGAGGCAAGAGTGGAAGTCAGAGAGAAGTAAGTGATCGGGGTGAGTGAGGATGATGACCTGGGCTCAGACAGGGGCAGTAGAAAGGCCTTAGAGGATCACTGGATGGAGCAGCTTTAATGTGGATGTCAGAGTGGTGGGCAGAGGAGGGGCTGTAGGAAGGGCCTGGAGAGGGAAGTGTGCTGTGCAGGACATAGGAGAGGAGCTCAGGGTCTGCACAGGAGAGGAGCCTACAGCTCTGGGGAAAAGGGCAGTTAGAAGGAGGAGGGTGTTCTAGGCTAGACGGGGGCCCTGGGTCTGCTCTGATCCCCAGCCTGCCCCTGCCTCTTCTCAGTCTGCAGGAGTGTCAACTGGAGCCCCTGAGCCTCACCCACCTCTGTGACACTCTGAAAGCGTGCCCAGGGCCACTGGAAATTCAGTAAGTGACACAATATAGCCCTGAGGGAATAGTGTGGGTGGCATCACAGAAATCTGGAAGAAGGCTTCCTGTAGAGAAGTAATGTTTCTCACCCAGCCCCTCCACCTGTCAGCCCCATCCTGTGAGAGTTCCAGGACCTTCTGATGGAAAGTTGGGCATCTTCCATGAGCTCTACCCTAGAGCACTGCACCGCTGCTACTGGGATACACTGGGATGGTCCTGCCCCTTCCCACCCTATTCACCTCTGGACCCCACAGAGGTTCCTACTGGGTCCTATTTCTGTGGCTAAGCTCATCACTTTGAACATCTCTCCCTGGGTGACCACCTTACCCACCCAGGTCTGTGACCAGAGACTAGCCTCACATTCAGAAATTGGCTTAGCTACCTGAGAGCAGGATGTCCCCAGGCTTTATGTTCCTGGGCCTTAGCTTCTACTTCTGCAGAGTGAGCCTTTCCTCTGGGAGTCAGTGCTGAGATTTTATACATGAATGACCTTAAGGGCTGGAGAGATGGCTCAGTGGTTAAGAGCACTGACTGCTTTTGCAGAGGACCAGGGTTTAGTTCCTAGTGCCCACATGACAGCTAACAATTGTAACTCCCGTTCCAATTGATCTGATGCCCTCTTCTGGCCTCTGCAGGCATTGCATGCACGTGGTACATGCATCCATGCAGACAAAATGCTCATACACATAAAATAAGAATAAATTATTAATTTAAAAGAATTATTTTTGATTCATTTATTTTTATTTTATATGTATGAGTGTTATACCTACATGTAAGTAAGTGCACCCTGTTGTGCAGGGCCAGAAGAGGGCGTCGGATCTCTTGGAACTAGAGTTTCAGACGGTTGTTAGTTACCGTGTGGGTGCTGGGATTTGAACCCAGGTCTTCTTCAAGAGCAACCAGTGCTCTTAAATGCTGAGCTATCTCTCCAGCCAGGACTTGGGGCTGCAGACTCTATCCAAGTTTCATGAGAAAGGCAGAGCTGGGGGGGTCTGAGCACAAGTTGGGGGTCTCAGGATCCCCTCCCTGGCTTCAGTTAGCTGTCCTGGGATTCTCTAGGTAGGTGGTCAGTTCCCCCACTGTAAGTCTACCTCCCTCTGTACCTATTGGAAGACCTGTGTTAAGTTGGGATGGGTCATGTGACAATTGCTTTAAAAATAGGTGTAGACCCTGCCTGTATCGTCCAAAGGCCTCGGTGCTGTGGGCTTGGGGTGAGGGGAAGCCCCACATGGGGAGGTGCTATGGAAACAGCCCCCAGTGAAGGTCCCAGACACCCTTTTGGACCCAAACCAGTCATAGGCAGAAAAGACAGACTGAGCCTGCTGGATGCTGACAAAGGTGTTACCCTTCACTCCAACTGCAGAACCTCAGGCTGCTCTGTGTATTCCACACTCCACCCACATCAATGCTAGGTCCTGCCCCCTCCTCCCAACCAAGCAGCCAATGTAGCAAGATGGTGGTAGCCAGGCAGCCTGCAGTCACAAAGAAAGGAGGACAGAGAGTGGGAGCAGTGGTGGGCAGATGGGGAGAAGGCAGGAGAAGAACACAGCCCAAAGGGTTCTAGGGCCAGGAAATGACTCCAGATCCCCAGTGGAGGGCTGTGTGTGGCTCTGGGGTACTCAGGGCATACAGAGGCCCAGGGATGGGTATTTGGACTTTCTCCTCTGTATGCCGAGTCTGTCAAATTATTTGGACCTGCAATATGGTGGTTGGTGTATTTGGATGGGCCACAGAGACCCATATCTCTCCAATGTGACCTATAGCTCACAGGTTTCATTTGCTTTGTCAAATGGGATGAAGGCAGTTGATGGCCCTCTACTCACAATCCTGCCACTCCATGGAGTTTGGGGGAGTCTCTCACAGATGCTTGGAAATCCAAAATGCCCAGCAGCCTGGAAATAAAGCGATTATGTTCAGCTCCATCCCATTTCCCAAATATGTCTAACTCGAGGACCCAGCCTTGGGAGGGGAACTCAGCCTTGAGAGGGGGACCCAGCCTTGGGAGAAGGACTCAACCCTGAGAGCAGGATCCAGCCTTGGGAGGGAGACTGAGACTTGGGAGGAGGAACCAGGCTTGGGAAGGGGACTCAGCCTTGGGAGGGGGACTCAGCCTTGGGAGGAGCTACTTCTAGCAACACCATTCTCATCCCATCTCCACAAGGCCCTGGCTATGAGGCCATCTGCCCACTTTTCTAGAAGGTTCCCCCACCTCATTCAGACCCTTTGCTTCACAGATTGTCCTGCAAGACCCTAAGTGATGACAGCCTGGAGACTCTGCTGAGGTGCCTGCCTCAGCTGCCTCAGCTCAGCCTGCTACAGTAAGCCCAGTTTCCAGTCCCACTGCTGGCTAGTCTAGCCTGTCCCCCAGGCTCTGTGTGGTGGGGCCGCCCTTCTCATCCCCGCCCCTTCTCCTCTTTCCCTCCCTTCCACCACTGCATTTCTTCATGAGTCCCAGCTGGGGACTCAGATCTGCGCCCAGCTTCACAGCAAATTGTTTGTCGCCTCTGGATCTCAGTTTTATCTTCTGACAAACGGGGTTTGTACCACAAACCCTTCTTTGAAGTCCAGACTTAAATAGGTCTATTTGACAGATGCTCAAAATCGCATGAAAGATGAAATGGGTGTGGCTATCAGAAGCAGCTTCTGCTGCCCACAGAAAGGTCTCCTACCCCTATGAAAGATGCCCGTGAAGATATAGGCCATGTATATGTCACATGCAACTATTTTAAAGGTCACCATCCAACTCTGTCAAAGCGGAAGAATTTAAGCAGCATCCATCAAAGTATTTAAAACTCTGTTTTCTAATTTCAGTGCAGACTGGTTAGAATTTAAAAAGGATTTACTTTAAATATTCTTCTAGCAGAGGGGGTAGGGGGAAGCAGCCGCAGCCGAGATGGAAAAATACAACAGGAAATTAAATCATAGCCTTAATAACAGCACTGAGAGCACCAAGGCTGAGCACCCGTGATGCCAAAGACTGTTGGAGTTGCCTCAGGATCTTGTTTCTCCTACAGTTCTGTGGGGAGAGAAGGAGGGGGGAGATGTGAACTGGTCAGGCATGGAACAGTCCATGCAAACCACAAGGGACAGAATGGGTCAGATGCCTCCTTTGGTCACAGAAAGCATGGTAGGTGGGAGACTTTACACCAGAAAGGGGCTTCTCTTTGCCCAAGTCACACTGCACCTCCCCCACTTTTGCAGCTATCTTTGCAATGGGATATCTTTGCAAAGGGCCAGGCCCTTTCCTGGGCTTACCTCATTCACCCCTACTGTTGGCACACCTACTGTGGGCTAGGCACTGTCTGGAGTGCTATGACATTACAAAAATGAAGCAAATGGCTAGATCTCTGCTTTCTTGATGTTCACCTTGTAGCACAGGGAGTTGAGCAAAGAGTAAAGTGACATCAAAATGATACTTAGCCAGTGTGGTGGTGCACACCTTTAATCCTAGCACTCGAGGCAGAGGCAGGCAGAGCTCAGTGAGATCAAGGTCAACCTGGTCTAGATAGTGAGTTCCAGGCCAGCTGCGGCTACGGGAAGACTCTGTCCCCCCAACTTCCAAAAATGATGCAGTCAGCCAGGCATGGAGGCACTACCTGGACTCTAAGACCTTAGAAGGCTGAGGTAGGAGGATCTCAAGATCCAGGTTAGCCTGGGCTACAGAGTGACACCCGGCCTCAACAAACAAACAAATAAAAAACAAAACAAAACAATAAAAGACAAATGTAACCAATGACAAAGTACTTTTTTCCAGGTCACAAGTGGCTAGAGGTGACACAGATGAGGGCAGGTATATTCAGGGAGTGTCTCTGAGGGAAGATGCTGAGCAGCCAACCTAAAGGACAAGAGGGAGCTGGCAGTGTGAACTTGTAAAGGGCAAGGAACTTTATTACAGCCCTGTGGCATAACTGAGTTTGACAGGTTACAAGAACAGCCCTGAGGTCAATTAGGCCAGAGCCAATGACTGGCAGGGAAAAGCTAGAAGAAGAGGGAGGTGCTAGGGCTGGTCACACAGAGCCTGGGAGCCAGAGAGTTTGGGTTTTCATCCCCAGGAACTTGAACGACAAATGATTTGAATTCAAAAGCTCAGCTTGTCTGGGGGACTAGAGCAGCGCTGTGGAGTTGTGTGCAGCCAATGTGAGATGATTGGGGCTGACAATGGTGGAATTTGGGGAGGACTTGGGAATGGAGCTGACAGGACATGCTGATAGAGGCCTTATAGGCCCAAGGAGGCACCAGAGCAGGATGGACCCACATCTGGGCCTCTAAGGCAGTGGTTTGCAGCTGGGAGTAAATGCCCCTCAAGGTGTCACTGAGAGGTCTGTCTCTTTGGCCTTGTGATCTCTGGAAAGAATTCAGACTTTCAGAGGGGGAGGGCAGCTAGAGTTTATTACAAAGAACTCTCAAGATAAACAGATACAGAGGTCATTTTGTGACAGCCTACATTTTAGATTGGTTTTGTACTATTTCTAAAGTCTCTAGAACAGTTGGCTTCCTCCTGAAGGCAGTTTTCAAAAGGCTGTTTAGTTAAATTTTTTTTGAGGCTAGGTCTCTATGTAGCCCAGGCTGGCCTCAAACTTATGTAGTTGAGGATGACCTTGAACAGCTGACCCTCCTATCTCCTCCTGGCAGATGCTCAAAGTCACACAGCTAGTAAACAGAACTGGGACTCAAATCCTAGTCATCTTGCCCCTATCCCCACCCCTCTTTGTCCCTCTTGAGTCTTTAACATCTCTCTTATTGTTTCACTGAGCTGTCACACAAACCATCCTCCTCTTCCCCTCCCTCCAGCCTAGCCACGTTTCTTGGCTGATTATTTGGCTTAACCCTCCTGCTTTCCCTCTCAGGCTAAGGCACACAGTCCTGTCTTCCAGAAGCCCTTTACTGCTGGCCAACTTCTTCAACCTGTGTCCACGGGTTCAGAAGGTGGATCTCAGGTGAACATCATGCTGGGACCCCCACCCCAGGACTAGTCGTGAAGGGTGGAGTCTGGCATCTGATGGATGTGCTGGGAGCACTCCAAGGACATGGCCAAGTATGGCTGAACCTTTGCTGTTGCTGCAGGTCCCTGTATCATGTGGCTCTGTACTTCCAGTCCAGTGAGAAGCAGGAGGGTGTGTGCTTTGGGTAAGTTCTCTGAGCCATCTTCTATAGCCAGAGGGATCGGCAGACTGTCTCCTAGGGGCCAGAGCCGAGTGCTGGCTACCTGTTGCCAAACATGAACTTGTTCCTCCAACACAATGAAACAGAGGCCCAGAGAGGGTTCGTTGTTGTGCCCAGCAACTAACAGGGAATCTTTGTCCAACCAGATCAGAACTCAGGGCTGGTCCTACAGAAAGAATTCCATAACCTACCGACCAACCAGCTCTCCAGTTCTGCACCACCAGGGTCTGGGGCTTTGGGCAAGCTGTTTGCTTTCTGACCATGAGCTTCCTCAACTATAGAAGGGAGCTATGGACTAGTAGAGTATTGGCAAGGCTGGCTGTATAAAGCAACACATAAGGCACCAGGCATGTACACGGTCACACACACACACACACACACACACACACACACACACACACAACTCTCCTTTGCTGACAGGGTAACAGGGCCTAGCACTGGAGACAGGACAGCAGACAAGAAGGCAGCTTTGAATTGCAGAGGCAGCTGAATTCCACTAGCTCTCTATGAGACCTTGGACCCATCCTTTGGGGTGGTTGGCCTTCTCAGCTGTGAAATGACAGTCAATGAATAACCCATTCACTGGGCACTGACCCCTGTGACCATCCTCTGAGAGTCCTGGGAACATGGCTCCTCTGAGCCTGCAATGTGGTCACATAGTGGGGAGGGAGGGCAAAGGGGCTGAGCTGAGCCTGCCGACTGATCCAGCCCAGAGGCAAAGGGGTTTTTTGTAAAGGGTTAGAGAGCGCTGTGATCCCAGCACTCAGGAGGCTGAGGCAGGAGGAGCTTGGGTTCAGCCTGAGCTATATAGAGAATCCCTAGGTAAAAAGAAAAAAAAAACCTAAAAATATTAAAGAGAGTGATGGTAATAAAAATTTGCTAGCAATTTTAACATCTGAGTTTCAAATTTTTAAAAATTATTTTAGTCCTTTTAAAAAATCATTTATTTTTATTGTATGTGTATGAGTGTTATGCCTGCATGTATATAAGTGTACCCATGTTGTGCAATGCCCCTAGAGGACAGAAGAGGGTCTTGGAGCCCCTGAAACTGGAGTTACGGATAGTTGTTAACCACCATGTGGGTGCTGGGATTTGAACCTGGGTCTTCTGCAAGAGCAGCCAGTGCTCTTAACCACTGGGCCATCTCTCCAGTAGCAAGTTTCAAATTTTAAAATGTTGCTGGCTTGCCATGATCTTTTCATCTACCTTACTGTGAGGCAGGCTTACTCTCACTTTAAAGCCCAGCTCTTGGCAAAAGCCGATGCCACTCTTTCTTATTCTCCCAAATCCGTCCCCATGTCTGAGTTTTCTTTTTGGAAGGGTGTGGAGGGTGTTCAGTCACTCAAACTAGATCTTGAGGACCTCACCTAGAGGACCTTGGTCCAGAATTTCTTTCTCTGTGGATTTGGTGAGGGACCCACGATTTACATCTCAAGTCCCCAAGTGATGCTAATGTGACTGGTTGAGGATCACACTTTGAGAAGCATACCTCTCAGAAGGAGAATGTGAGCTCTGAGAGGGACCTGGCTCAGGGAGCAGGATACATGGGTTCTGGGCATTTCCAGATCATCCCAGCTTTGGTGGGAGCCCTGGAGCTCTGTGACCACACCCAGGAAAGGTTGGGCTAGAGGTGGGTTGTGTAGCTGAACAGTTGTCTCTTGTCCCCCTCCCTGCCCTGCAGGTTCCATAGCTGCAACCTCAGCCAGGAGCATGTGGAGCCACTGTGCTGTGCGCTGGGCAGGTGTAAAGCCCTCAGTCAGCTGGAGTAAGTTGGGAGGAGGGGAAAGGACTGAGAACACTTGGAGGGGGGCTGGGTGTGTGCATTGGTGTGAGTTGGGGTGAGCAGGCGCCCGCAGGTGAGCAGGTGCCCACTACCACTCAGGACCAGTCTCTGCTTGTCACTGTGACTGAATACCTGACAGAAGCAACTTGGAAGGAAGGAAGGAAGGAAGGAAGGAAGGAAGGAAGGAAGGAAGGAAGGAGGGAGGGAGGGAAGGAAGGACAGAAGGAAGGAAGGACAGAAGGATGGAAGGAAGGAAGGACAGAAGGAAGGAAGGAAGGAAGGACAGAAGGAAGGAAGGATGGAAGGAAGGAAGGAAGGACGGATGGAAGGAAGGAAGGACGGAAGGAAGGAAGGAAGGAAGAAGGAAGGAAGGACAGACAGAAGGAAGGAAGGAAGGGGAAGGAAGAAGGAAGGAAGAAGGAAGGAAGGACAGACAGAAGGAAGGAAGGGGAAGGAAGAAGGAAGGGGAAGGAAGAAAGGGGAAGGAAGAAGGAAGGAAGGAAGGAAGGGTTTATTTTTGACTCACAGAAGGTGTTTGTTTTTTGGTTTTCTTTTTTTTTTTTTTTTGAGACAGAATCCCCTGTAGCCCATGTTGGCCTCAAATTTGCTGTGTAGCTGAGGCTGATGATAAATCTCAGATCTACCTGCCTCACCTCTAGGGTCCTGGAATTGCAGGTGGGCACCACCTACCTAGCCTTGGCTCATGGTTTAAGAGGGATACAGTCCATTAGGTGGAGAAGGCATGGTGGTAGGAGCATGAGGCAGCTGATTGTACTGTGCCCGTAATCAGGAATCAGAGAAAGGTGAATGCTGGTGCTCAGGGGGATCCTCTTCTTCCTGCCCTCATCCCTGGCCTATGGGATGGTGCTGCCCACATTCAGGGCACATCTTTTCTTCTCAGTTAAATCTCTGGAAACACCCTCACAGTTGCTTGCAAAGGTGTGTCTCCTAGGTGATTCCAAATCCAGTAAAGTTGGTGATGCAGATCACATCCTGTAACTTGGGCAGCCCTTCAGAGGGCGCACCAGGATTCCCTTAGCCTCAGGTCTGTCTTGTGTGTCCAAGTTCTGCAGGCAGATGGGGTTTACAAGAGGAGCCATTGATTTGCTTGGCAGGTGGTCAAAAGGACCAACTGACTGAACAGAGGAGGAATCTGAAGCCAGTCAGGGTGAGGACTTGGGAAGTGGCATCCCTATGGTTTGTGTTGGGTGTCCAAACAGGGGCAGAAAAACAACATCTGTGAACACCTGTCAAGATTCTCCACCATTATAAACACCTTATGAGTTTTCATTACCCTCCCAGCAACCCTAGGTACTGTGACTGTCCTATCTACAGATGAGGGAACTGAAGTACAGAGAGAGTTTAAGAACTCACCCAGCATCATACAACTAACACAACTCTTACAGTTAATAGAGTCCAGCCTAGAACCATTGAGAAATGGCCAAGTTATCTAAAAATAAAGAAATAATAGCCATAGTTTAAATTTCTACTGTGCCTAGGTGTGTAATATCAGCATTTTGGGAGACTAAGGCAGAAGGATTTCCAGTTCCAAGCCAGTCTTGGCTCCATAGCAAGTTCAAGGCCAGTGAGACCCTATCTGAATTAAAATATAAACTATGCCAGGCATGGTGGCACACACCTTAATCCCAGCACTCAGGAGGCAGAGGCAGGTAGATCTCTGTGAGTTCAAGGCCAGCCTTGTCTACATAGTGAGTTCCAGGACAGCTGGGGCTACAGGGAAACCCCGTTTCAAAAAAAACCAAAAAAAAAAAAAAGAAAAAAAAAACCCATAAACTAATTTCACTTGTGATAAGAGAGCTGTGACAAAGCCAAAAAGAGAGCTGTGACAAAGAAGTGTGTGTTTTTATTGTTGTTATTTGTGTGTTTTATTTTTGTTTTTTATTCTTTGAGAATTTCATACAATATATTTTGGCCATATTCATCCTCCCTCCTCCAACTCCTCCTAGATCCTACCCCCCTTCCTGACCCACCCAACTTTGTGTCTTTTTTTTTTTAATATGTCTTTTTTTTTTAATGTGTATGTGTGTACTACCTGTATTCATGTAAGTGCACCTGTGTAATGCAGTGCCCTTGGAGGTCAGAAGAGGGCATCAGATCCTCTAAAACTGGAGTTACTGATGGTTGTTAGCCACCATGTGGGTGCTGGGAACTGAATCCAGGTCTTTTGCAAGAACAGTCAGTGCTCTTAACCACTGATCTCTCCAGCCCCACATCTTTTTTTTTTTTTAACCCATCAAGTACAATTTATGCTGCCCATATACTCGGGTATGTGGGTATCTACTGGATTGTGGTTGACCTACCTCAGGCCATACCCTTAAAGAAAACTGACTCTCTCTCCCAGAAGCTATCAGTTGCGAACAACTCCTTAACTAAGAGTGGGACATTGTGCCCACCTCCTCTCTCTATGCTGGGATTTTGTCTGACTTGAGTTTGCATGAAAGATGGAGCACAGAAATTGTAGGAGCCAGAAACAGTGGATGACTACAAAGAAACAGGGTTTTCCGGACACAACAGGGCAGTTGTACATATGAATTCACAGTGGTTGTAACAGCATGCACAGAATCTGTAGAAGCATGAATTTTAAGGAAAGATGAATGTTTCATTATAAAGGGAAACTGTTCTTGTTTTAAAGTCATCTTAAAGCTGGAGGTGTCACTTAGTGGTAGAGTACTTGCCTAGCACGTATGAGATCCTAGGTTCAAACCTCAGTACCACCAAAACCAAATACAGGTCATTTTATTAACTGGCTTTGTGAGACAAAGCAATTTTAAAGAAGATTTATTCTTATTTATATGTGTGTTTGTATATGTATGTGAATGTGTGTGCACTTTTTAAAAGAAATTTCTTGGGGCTGGAGAGATGGCTCAGCAGAAGAACACTGTAGTTGCTCTTACAGAAGAACTGGGTCGAATCCCAGAGTGAGATCCTGTTTTTTAAAAAAATCCTCCTTTACCTTTATAGTTTTAAGATGGCTTCTAATGTGAACAGAATTTAAAAATTAAACTACAGTAGGCTGCAAACCCAGCACTTAAAGCTAAAGCAGGAAGGTGAAGGGTGTGGGCCATAAGACAGACAGACTTTGTCTCAAAAACAAAACAAAACAAATTACACAACCAAGGCACTGTAAACCCTTGCTAGATAACTGACATTGAGAAAACGACAGGGGCTGAGGTTGCAGCTTGGCTACAGAACACTTTTACCATACATGAGACTCTGAATTTGATCCCTAACACCAGAAATATATTTCCCATGCACACATGATAAAGATGCTGATTTTAAATACTTTATTCTAAAAGCTTCAGAGATAAAATATGACACAGTGAATTTGCTTCTTGGTTAAGGGAATAAAGACTGAGCTGCTGGGAAAATGGGGGCTCACTATCTAGCAGGATTAACTTATCTTGGGATGAATTGGGCAGATTTCCAAGTTGGGGGGGGAGGTATATTTAAGCATTACTGATGAGCAGCAACCAACCCGCCTTCCACTTGTGGCATCAGAAATGTCTCTAGACACTGTCAAATATCTAGTCATTGACAATATCACACCAGATGCTGCACTTTTTAAAAGAAATTTCTTGGGGCTGGAGAGATGGCTCAGCAGTTAAGAACACTGACTGTTCTTGCAGAGGACCCAGGTTTGATTCCCAGCACCCACATGGCAGCTAACAACCGTCAGTAACTCTAGTTCCAGGGGATCTGACACCCTCTCCTGACCTCCATGGGCATTGCATGACGTGTGTAGACTCACATATATGCAGGCAATAGACTCATACACATAAAATAAAAATAATAAATAAAATACTTTTAAAAAAGAAAATTTTCAGAAAAAGACCAAACAAACAAGTGTCAAAAGCATCAAATGTGGGAGGGAAATCAGATGTTGAGGGCACCTGGTCATGTTTCTGAGGCTGTGGCAGAGACTCAGGATGCCTCCAGGAGAGGAAGTAGGAAGTGGTTTTCAGGTACAGTTTCTGGCAGTTTCTGATGTCAGACTCCTAAGCTAAAGAAAGAAATCTGCTAGGTAACTGTGTCTTCCAAACATTTTTCCCTTTCTTGGATTCATTCTTGGGAAATTGTGACTTCCAGCTGGCACAGGGGAAAGCTGATTCATTTTTCTGTAACTCTTAAAAAGTCTGCTGGTGGCACCGGGCGTGGTGGTGCACGCCTTTAATCTCAGCACTTGGCAGGCAAAGGCAGGTGGATCTTTGTGAGTTCAGGGCCAGACTGGCCTACGTAGTGAGTTCCAGGACAGCTGGGACTACAAGGAGACCCTGCCTCAAAAAGACCAAAAAAAAAAGGGTCTGCTGGCGGGACCTGAGCCCTGGGGGTGGCACATACACTGAGGAGGAAAATGGAGACTAGTTTACTGTGGTGCTGGTGAGGGGACTGGGGGATTGCAGTGCTGGTGAGGTTCATGGTGGTGAAAAATGATGATGGGGTGGTGATGGGCATGGTGTTCTAGAGTGGTGTTGGTGCTTCTGGGGCTGGGGTCAGGGCTGGTGATGGCATGGTGATGTTGATACAGTGGCCAGAGAGACTGTGAAGAGTAGGCAGAGCTTGGACCACCACCAACCGCTCTTTTTCTCACAGCCTCACAGGCAATCTCCTGGGAGATGGTGGGCTTAGATGCCTTCTAGAACACCTGCCGCAGCTGCCTATCTCCGGATGGCTTGAGTAAGTGAAAGCAGCCCTGAAACATTTGGGGGAACCCCCTGCAACAGAGCATGAGTGAATCCTCTTTAGACAGCATCTTGAGGGAACCTGAAGTCAATGTTCAGGAGAGGGAAGGGGTGACTCTTACCTGAGCCCCATCCCTGAGGGCCTCCTCCCTCTTGCCCACCATAGGTAAATCCTCCACCAGACACAATGAGCTAGGACTTGTGGTAGAGTGGAACTGCCCCTCCATGTCCCCTTCCACCAAGCTGACCCAAAGCAGGGAACAGTATCCCATCCCTACTATGTAATGTGGGGCTATAGCCACCTGCTCCTGTTTATTCCATTCTTGAAGTCCCTCCAACCTCATCTATCTATGAGACACAAATTTGGAGATGACCCTCAGCAGAGGAGGGTCACAGAAAGTCAGCCACACTCACCTAATCTCCTCAGTGACACCAGAGCCAGGATACAGCCTGTTACTGGGCAAGCAAGTTTAATGCTTTGGGAATCCCTGACCCAGTCAGGGCTGGAGTGGTCAGCTCAGACTCCTCAACAGTCTGCCCCATACCACAGGAACAGCAAACCGAGTAAGAGCAGCTCTGGAGGACTCAGGGCCAGGTGTCTTCCCACCTATGTGGGGTTGTGCCCCTCTGGGCTTCTCTCTGAATCTCATTGTCAACATCTGAAGAATGGGTGCTTGGACATTGAGCTGGAAGGAAAGCAAGGGGCAGGGGCTCTGCTGAGCCTCACTTTTCTTCTAGCCTCAGTCACAACAGCATCTCTCAGGAAGGTATCCTGCACCTTCTGGAGACCCTGCCCTCCTACCCTCATGTGTGTGAAGCCTTGGTGAGGTAAGCTGTTAGTGCCACTGACTGATGTGGCAGGGGCATAAGACCCTCACACTGCAGGTTTGTGTTGCATGATTTCAAGTCGTAGTTTCCATCTCTGATGCAGTGCCACAGAGGTGGAGAGGGTCAAGTGTGCAGAACTCATTTCTCACAAAATAAGTGGGGCAAAGGGCTCCCCTGCTCCCTTCGGGCTCAGCCCCCTCTCTTCTGTATATCCTGGGTGCTCCAGGTACCCAAGATGCTAGCTTGATGCCTCCATGCCCTCCTCTCTCACAGCCTGGACTCTGAGCAGAACTTCTGGATATGCTTCTCCAAGAAGGAAGAGACTGGGATGACACTGAGGTAATCCCAGGTGGGGTGTCAGGCAGGAGAAAGAAGGGGCAGAGATACTGGTTTGTGAGGACCCCTTGACTTCCTTACTGGGCCCTCTCCTCAGAGGCCTGCTTCTGGCTCACTCCTTGGCTTTGGTCCCAAGATCAGCTATGATGTCCGCAATCCATCCCCAATATCACATACAGCACACAAGCCACATTATACCATATCACACATAGACCATCTACACAAAACACATACTACACACATGCACACTCTCACATACACACATATACTATGCACAAAAAACACATACTCTTACATCTTACATACCCTCCCACATACACATATATACTCATACACACCAAAACATATTCATACTTAGACACATACAAAACACATACTACATGCCGGGCGTGGTGGCGTACACCTTTAATCCCAGCAGAGGCAGGAGGATCTCTGTGAGTTCAAGGCCAGCCTGGTCTACATAGTGAGTTCTAGGCCAGCTGGGGCTACTGGGAGACCCTGTCTCAAAAAGACTAAAAAAAAATATATATGTATATGTGAGTGTAAATATGTGTTTTGTTTTTTTTCAATTTGGTCTTTTTGAGACAGGGTCTCCCTGTAGCCCCAGCTGTCCTGGAACTCACTATGTAGATCAGGCTGGCCTCAAACTCACAGAAATCCGCCTGCCTCTGCCTCCCGAGTGCTGGGATTAAAGGTGTGTGCCACCACGCCCAGCTCATATATATTCTATACATACAAAATACATACATACTCATGTACAAAGAAAAACACATTTGCCCTCTTAAACACACACAAAGCACTCATACATAGTCTCTTACACACACACGCACACACACTTCAGCCATGAGGCCTTTGCTCTCCATGCCTGTTCTCCTGCTCACACTGGGCCCTCAGCCTGGCATTCTCTTCCCCTGCCCTTTCTGAGAGAAAATTCTCCCAACCCTTTAAGACCATCTCACACGGTGGCACCTCCTGGAGGCCTGTGGCACACCAGCAGCCCTGCTGTCAGAGTGAACATCTTGGGGTCCTGCAGCCCCTTTTCATGGACAGCAGCCTGGCTTATCTGCAGGCTATGGAGGGCAGGGCTACAGCTGGCACCAAGAACCACCCTCCTGGCAAGGAGCCTGGACTACAGCAGTAGCCACAGAATCAGGCTGAACCAGCCAAAGCCAGTTCTGCCTCCCCAGGAATATCTCAGCAGCTGCAAGCTGGGGTCAGCCAGTGGCCGCCTGTAAATGTGTTATGAGTGCTAAATGAAATGTGTGGCAGGAGGTGCCCTGTGCCCTGGGGCTGGCACCATGCCTGGCATGGAGTCATGCTCCACAAATTACTGACTCCCAACAGAGACAGAAGTCCCAAGGCGGGAGCAGCACCTGTTGGCTTCCCTAGGCCTGAGCCCAGGCCTGTGTCCTCTGGAGAGGCGGGGAGGAGAGGCCAGCAGCCCAGGCATCCTCAGGTTCTGCCCTGCCTTCTTTCAGACTGGTCAAGTGCAGCTTCAGACCGGAACACATATCCAGACTGGCCTCCAGCCTGATCCAGGCCCAAAAGCTGATGGAACTCTCGTGAGTGACAGGGTCAGCCCATGGGGTCACTAAAAGGTGGGGCACCCTGCCAGAGCCACACTGTGACTGACCTCTGTCCCCAGGCTGACCAGGTGCCAGTTGGACCTGCCGCAGCTGACTGGCCTCCTGAACTTGGTGAGGCGGCCTGCTGGACTGCTGGGCCTCAGGTATCTAACTGTACTTGGGATGGGGGATACCAGAGGTCAAGGCCCCCAGAATCACGGCCCGGGCTTTTCCTGTACCTAGGACCCCACCCCTCCCTCTGATCCAGAGCCACTCCAAGTACAGAGGGAGGCTGTTGGGGTTGGGGAGGGTGCTGTGCTTTGGGGTTTAAAAAAATAAGCTGGACGTGGTACTGCATGCCTTTAATCCCAGCACTTGGGAGGCAGAAGCAGGTGGATCTTTGTGAGTTCGAGGCCAGCCTGGTCTACATAGTGAGTTCCAGGACAGCTGGGGCCACAGGGAGACCCTGTCTCAAAAAGACCAAAAATGAATGAATGAATGAATGAATAAATAAATAAATAAATAAATGAAATGGTGCTGGTGTGGAGCTCAAAGGTAGACTGCTTGCCTAGCATGTAGGAAGCCCAGGGTCCAGTCCCCAGCAGTACAAAAAATTATTAAAACTAATAAAAGTTCTGAAGGATACCCAATGGAGGATAAAAAATAATGTAAAATAAATATATGTTCACCACAATGTAAAAGCATTCAGAAAATACCAAAAAGTACAAAGAATAATCTTTAATAACTCATATTCTATTACCAAGGTTTTTGTAATTTGGTAATTGTTCATATTTACTTCATTTTTTTTTTGTCTTTTTTGAGACAGGGTCTCCCTGTAGCCAAAGCTGTCCTGGAACTTACTATGTAGACCAGGCTGGCCTTGAACTCACAGAGATCTGCCTGCCTCTGCCTCCCAAGTGCTGGGATTAAAGGCATGTGCCACCACACCCGGCCCTGCTTCATATTTTAAAAAATATTTATTATTTTTATGTGTATGTGTATAATTATTGCCTGCATGTAGGTAAGGGCACCTGTGTCGTGCAATGTCTGCAGAGGACAGAGAGGCTGTTGGATCCTCTGGAACTGGAGTTACGGACAGTTGTTGGCTGCCATGTGGGTGCTTGGATTCGAACCCAGGTCTTCTGCAAGAACAGTCAGTGTTCTTAACCCCTGAGCCATCTCTCCAGCCCCCATATCCAGAATTTTTTAGATCACCCAAAATACCTTAAAATAAAACTGTCCAAGCCAAAAAGTAACATGTATTTATTGTATAAATTTGTGAAAAATCCAGACTAGCATAAAGAAGAAAAACAATTGTTTATAAAGTAATGTAACCTAATTTTAAAGCAGAAATATTTAAAATAACTCTTTTCCTTGCTACTAGATTAATCCATGCATTTTATAGAAAGTTTAGAAAATGTAGAATGCTGAACAAGAAATAGTCACTTCTGAAAATTCTGCCATTTAAACAAATGCCAAAAAAAGTATACACATTTTCCTTCTACCCTGCTCGTTCTCTTGTTCTCTCTCTCTCTCTCTCTCTCTCTCTCTCTCTCTCTCTCTCTCTCGGAGTTATAGCTGTATATGGTTTTGTTTCATTATCTTTACCACATAACAACTTGTGTTAAATAAGAAAAGTACTCTTTCAAAAAATATTCTTGAGCTGGGAGATGGCTCAGCAAAGACCCGTGCACCTCTACTTCCAGTGCTTCTGCTGTGCCTGTGGCAAGATAGAGGGCGAAGACAGGAGAATCTCTGAAAGTTAGCCTGGCATGGGCGCAAAGGACCCTGTCTCAAACAGAGTGACGCCTGAGGTTGTCCTCTGACCTCCACATATCCACACATGCTCTGTGGAATATGCACACCTGCACTCACACATAGGAACACACATACACAAATGTAAGCACGTGCACACACACACACAAATATCTTTTATGTTACTTTTTTATTTTTTGAAACAGGATCTCACTATGTTTTCTTGGCTGGCTTGGAACTCACTATGTAGACCGGGCTGATCTTGAACTCATAGAGATCCGCCTATGTCTGCCTTCTGAGTGCTGGGATTAAAGGCATGAGTCACCAAGTCCAGCCACACAAATATTCTTGAGCTAGGTATGCTGATACACACCTGTAATTCCAGCACTTAGGAGCCGAGACAGGAGGATTGCCTTGAGTTTGAGTTCAACCTGGTTTACATAGTAAGACCCTGTCAAAAAAAGAAGAGGGGAAAAAATGATTCTTACAAAATAATTTTTAGAATAAGGATGATATTAATTTTCTTTTTAACATTTTGGCTAATTGTATAATTCTATTAGTTTATTTTTCTTTCATCAGCATATTTTAATTATAATAGCAGGGCCATACATGTGGATAATGTATTTTGATAATATTCCCCCCCATTGCCCTCTCTTGGTTTTATTTTGTTTTGTTTCGATAGGATCTCATTTATCCCAGGCTGATCTTGAATACACTAGGTAGTCAAGGATGATCCTGAATTCCTGATCCTTTCTCCCTCCGCCTCCCCAGTTCTAGAATCACAGGTGTATACCATCATGTGGCTCTGGGGATCAAACCCAAGGCCTCACAATATTCCCCCCCATTGCCCTCTCTTGGTTTTATTTTGTTTTGTTTCGATAGGATCTCATTTATCCCAGGCTGATCTTGAATACACTAGGTAGTCAAGGATGATCCTGAATTCCTGATCCTTTCTCCCTCCACCTCCCCAGTTCTGGAATCACAGGTGTATACCACCATGTGGCTCTGGGGATCAAACCCAAGGCCTCATGCATTCTTAGCAGACAGTCTACCAGCTAAGCTACAGCTTAGCCTTGTAATTTTAAAATAAGCTAAAACCACAAAAATCCCCCCACCCTGGTACTGCCCTCTCTCCTGGGTGTGTTGGGTAGCTGCTGCTCACCCCTAGGGGACCTTGTCTATATGTCTGCTTCCATGACAGGTTGGAGGAACCCTGGGTGGGTCAGGTTGGCTTGCCGGCCCTGCTGGAAGTTTGTGTCCAGACCTCAGGTTGCATCACTGAGCTAAGGTGAGTCCAGGGAAGAGTCCCTGGAAATTCACCTTTCTATGATCTTTGTTACTTTCCCTGACCCTCACTCACCTAGACATCAGTATTTTGTCCTGTGGTTTAACAACTGTGTCACTGGCAGGAACTCCTGGGTATACATGAGGAACTTTTCATGTTGTTGGGACTGGTGCAGTAGGCAGGTCACAGTGGTCAAGATGGCAGATCCAGGCAAGCATGGCTGGGATCCATGGTGGTTGCTCAGAAGTGGTTCCAGGCTGCAGTGGCAGGGAGTGGCTGGGAGCAAAGCTTTGGCTGGCTGACACATGACTTCAGATCCTACCTTGGCAACAGCTGCCCTGAGCCAAGGACTGTGCCTGTCTAGCCTGCCTTCGTCTCTGAAACTGTCCTTGTCCTTGCTTGAGGCTGGAGGATTGGGTCAGTCTGGGTCGGAGTCAGGCTGGGCAGACACAGGCCTATGTGATCTGCCAACAACAAGCTGCCGAGGGCCTCATGCCAACTCTCCTTTCCCTCAGCATCTCTGAGACCCAGCAGCAACTCTGGATCCGGGTAGAATTTCCTCGTCAGGAAGAAAGTCCAGAGGCCACAGCCCTCAGGTGGGACCCAGCACCCAGAGCCTCAAGAGTGTGGCTGGTGACTAGAGGGGGAGGGGTACTGTCTGGGATCAGTACATCTTATATGCCTGTATCCTTTGGTGTCTGATCTTTCTGCAGCCTGGGAGTCTGCTCCATTGCTCTCCATCCACCTCACACCCAGACAGTCTTACTCCTCCTCACCAGCTCTCAGTCCCGCCAACGCCACCTTGCTCTGACCTCAGGGCCTTTGCATAGGCTATTCCTTCTGCCCAGAACGCTTATTTCCTTGCCTACTTTTTTCCTCTTTTCCCTGTTTCTACTTCATCGTTCAAGTCTCACCTTAAATACCACCATCCCAACTAGGACCCATGATTGCCACGACTTAGCCAAGTCCTCCCATTAGCCATTCTAATAGATGCCTCAATTTATGACATCTCTAATCCATATGTGACCTTTTTGGAAAAATGTCCCCTCTTTTTAGTGGGCACAACTGCATGTATATACATGCTAAGGACTAGAAATGGCTATATCCCAGCTTCCACTTACCTCCTTATCTGCATGCCTGTCCTATGCAGTCAACAACCTGCACAGCCATACCAGCTGACCCTTCTGAACCCTCCTTCCTAGCAGTGCTTATAACTGGAAAGTAAGCTGTGGGAATTTTCTCTGGCCAGCATTTATTTACCCTGTGGCATAATTGTGAAGGCAGGGACTGAAACCCCACCATGGACCAAGTGTTCAGAAACTGCCCACCCCCATTTGCCTCCAGGTTGGCTCACTGTGACCTTGCGACCAATCACGAGCTTCTTATGAGACAGCTGATGGAGACATGCGCCAGGCTACAGCAGCTCAGGTTGGTACCAGCAATGCCAGCTGTGGCCCTGAGTTCTCTGGCTGTCCCAGTGTCTCCTCCAGGCCACATTCTCTCTTCCCTCTGGGGTAGAACTCATATTTGAGCCAAGGGTCAGAGCCCCAGAGTGGTCCAGGGCATCTCTTGGAGAGTTCTTCTCCCATGATGACCCCCAAGGTGTGTCCAGCCTACAATCTTCTGTAATATTCTTGGTCCTTTTTAGCTTGTCCCAGGTTAACCTCATTGACGATGATGGTGCCAGGTCCTGGCTGCTGGAAAACCTCCTGCTGTCTCCCTGTGAGCTGAAGAGCTTCCGGTATGTAGATTTGTATTTTCATTGAGGCCCGTTTGCAGCTCTGCCTGCTCACACCACCTAATCCTAGTTCCTAGGCCCAGAGGATCCTGGTCCTACCCTGGTCTCAGAGTCCTGGAGATATTGCTAAAGAGACACAGTCACAGACATGGCCTTGGGGACACAGTCACACGGGGAAAGTTACTCCTTTCTCCATACCCTTTCTTCATTTTGTTTAATGTTCTTTGTAAATGATTATAAATAAAAAGCAAGGCACTTCAGAGGCAGGAGGATCTGAAGTTCAAGGCCAGCCTTGCTATATAATGAGTTGGAAGCCGACCTGGGCTATATGAAAAACAGAACAAAACAAAACAAAAACATAAAAAGATTCAAGACTGGAATTTATCCCAGCTTGCTCTTGGTTGATATTTTCACATTTGCTCTTTCTCTCCTTCTCCCTCCTCTTCCTCCTCCTCTCCCCCTACCCCCTTTTTTTCTTGAACCAGCAGACTTTGACCTCTCTGCAGCACCTGCCCAGAAGGTGTGCGGCTGTGTAAATGTCCTTAGCTGGACATTGCCTATGGCTGTGGTCTAGGTTTATAGGACAGGCCCCAGTTTCTACCTCCAGCTGTGTCCTGGCTTAATTAGCCCACAAATGAGAGACTGATGGAGGCTAGGAGGCCCCCACCTGCTGCCCCCAGGGGCCACATCCTGGCCTCTGTCATCAGTTTCAGACCTCCCAAGGCCAGGGTTCCCACCTGACCTACTGCCTTTTGATCTCTACCAGGCTGACCTCCAGCTGTGTGAGCACCCAGAACCTTGCCCACCTGGCATCTGGTCTTGGATACTGTCGCCACCTAGAGGAGCTGGAGTGAGTCACTGGATGGGAACCCAGGAAGAATGGATTGCTGGTCAATGGCAGGGCTAAGAGGACAGCTGGGCCTGGGAGACAGAGGCACTTTCACCATCACTGTTCTGGATCAAGTCCAACAGCTCCAGTGTGGCCAGCAAGGCTGAACACTGTGTTCTTGGCCTTGACTTCACCCTTGACTCTCTAAGTATCTCTGGACAGATTCTTCTTCCTCCCTGGTCTGGGACTGCACCTCTGTCAAAATGGGGCTTGAATCTGGCTCTGTTTCTGTTGCTAATGGGTACCAGGGTACAGAGAAAGCTAAAGGACAGAAGGATTATGGCATGCTATGAATCCCTCCTCCGCAGCCTCCTGGTGTAGGATCTGCAGCCCCAGTTAACTTCCCCGGAGTGGGAGGGGGCCAAGGGCCTAGGGACATTGTCACTCCAGGATCTAGACAGCTTGCCTGAGCAGAATCTTCTGCTTGGTCCCTACAGCTTCTCTAACAACCAGCTCTGTGAGGAGGGTGTGGAACTACTAATGAGAGCCCTGCAGGGGACCTGCATGTTGAAGAGGTTGCAGTAAGTGAGGGGAGGTTGATATGGTGAGTGGGGGGTGATGGGAAGAGAAGTGAGGAGATTCATGGAGAAGGAAGTGAGTAGGGAGATTAGTGGGGAAGGAGGGAAGGGGTTCACATCCAGGGGTTAGGGAGCATGCCTAGAAACCACTCCATCTCTGTGAATGCATCTTCAAATCTCTGGATGACTCAAGTGAGCCAAACACCCTCCTAAACCTTTTACTTCTCTACCTGGCTCTATGCACCATCAAGATGTTTGATCTCTGGAATCTCCAACTCAAAGAAACCAAGTCAGGAGTTAATTGGTTTATGTTGTAGAAAACTACAAAGCAACTGACTTCAGGCATGGCTGGATCCAGGGGCTGGGTACTGGCCCTACTCTCCAACCCAGCAGCCTTCCACAGCTTACTCTCCCAGCTTAGTGGAAAGGGAGCACCTTTCTCCCTGTGCTCAGCTACAGATGCCTTGAGTGCGCTTGCGTTACATGCCTAACCCTAAACTTATGGTGGTCTAAATGGACAGGTGGGGTCACAGGCCCACCCTGTCCTCTGGACTTAGAGAGATGCTTTGGGATTCAGTTCACAGAAGAGAGGACACAAACTCTGGGCAGAACCCGCCATCCCATGGCCACCTGCCTGGTTACTCAGAGTTTCTTTCTTTCGTTTATTTTTAGTGTTTTTAGTGTGTGTGTGTGTGTGTGTGTGTGTGTGTGTGTGTGTGTGTGTGTGTGTGTGTACACGCGCGCACATGCCATGATGTACATGTGGAGGTTAGCCGTTAGAGGACAACTTTTGTGAGTTGATTCTCTCCTTTTACTATGCGGGACCAGGGATGGAAAATAGGTCCTCAGTCTTGGCAGCAAGCACCTTTACCCACTGAACCATCTCCCAGGCCCACAGCTGTTTCTTAGTAACAGGACATGTTTATTCTCCCAGTAATCTACAATCATCAAATTCCTGGAAATGCCAGAAACAGCGCAACTAAAGGACAGGCCCCCATCCCACACATTCCAACTTAGGCAGTATCTTGTTAAAACAAAGCACACTTAACTGTGTTTTCTGCTTTTTTAATCTGTTTCTTTGATGACCCAAAATACACTCTGATTATAAAAGTTTCCATCATTTCAGAAATATGTAACAAAGAGGGAAAAATCCCCAGGAGATGGCACTCCCTCAGAAAACTTTCCAGAAGAGTCAGCTTGTGGATTGTTTTCCAGACTTTTCTCTACATATGTACTGAGCGTAATCTGACAATAGCCTTCTGGCTTTTGGCCCATAGTCATGAGATACTCTAGTCTGTCCCTCCTGGCTCTATCCTATGGAAAGAGATGGAAGAGAGGAAGGGCTAGAAGACCTTGGACCATACAGGGTCCACCTGTCTTCCCATGAGCTGTTGTTGAAGCCTTCTCTAAGTGTCTACAGCTCATTTGGTCTTCTGGAACCTTCTAGAAGCTTTTACCTGAGGTGTTAAAGACTTGGCCAATAAGGTAATTCTTGGATCATTCATCTGTGTGACCAGGGTGCCTGAACCAGGGCTAGGAGCTGGCAATTCTGCAGGACAGACCACCCTGCCCATCACACTAAGTCTTGAGTCCCAGGCACTTAGGCCACTCCTTACCACTTCCTGCCTCAGCTATCTGAAAGAAGGGGATGGGTCCTTGATACTTACAGCCCCCATCCATTTCCAGATCTGTCCATTCCACATCCTCTACCTCTGGCAGTTCCCCTCAAACCCAGCCAGCTTCCTCCAGCTGCCCTCCCTTCCCCCGGGTTAGGAAAGTGGCTCAGAGCCACACCATCTGGTGAAGCCCTTGATAGAATGGTAAGCCATCTTGGTTGGCTGAGACTGTGTCATTTTCAGCTCTAAAAGTTGCCTGTCCTAAAGAACCCTAGTTCTAGGAAGCCAGGACAGTTGACCACATCCTGCTGTCATCTTGCTGTGCTGGCTTGATAGTTACGTGATTGCTATTATTTCTTAGTGCCAGTCTGGGTACATGTGGGACAGAATACAGAACTGTTCCCCATGTAACTCAATAATCCATGCACAACTTCTGGGTAATGGTTGCTTTGCATACTTTAACTGTGGGGTTGTGAGTGCACTAAGCACAGAGACCTCGCGTCTGGTCAGACAGCGCATCAGTCTGCACCCCAGCCATGCCAAGTTCATCTGGCCTCCTTTCTCCAGCCTCAGTCACTTTCCGCTGGGAGAGTCTACACTGACCCTGCTCATTGGAGGATTAAGCCACATGGCTCTCCTGCAGAACCTCTGGTGAGTGACCAAGTGATTCCCTGGGAGTGAGTGGAAGGACCATTGGCTAACTCTGTTGGGACACCACCCAGGGCATGTCCCGAGGACCTGTGATGCCTCCCAACATCCTTACTGTCCAACATCCCAGCCTCTCAGGTTGGCGCCCACTATCCTTGCCTCCTGATGTCACTAGCTTCCTACTGGCTATAAAGTGACAGTCATTGCAGAGGTCCAAGTTCCCAGATTCTATGATTCCAGTGAGCACCACAGTAGAGGAGCTGTGGACCACACTTGATGAAGGGAGGGGCTAGACTTGACTTTCTTGCTGTGACTCACCTTCCGCCCTCTTGACAAGCAAATGCCACACTCTCTTTTGATGTAGTTTTTCCAAACACAAAATATTGTGACTAAACAACTCCAAGTGATGCCACAGGCCTTGTTTTGGTTCTGTCAGAGTTCTACCTGACTCTGGCAAGGTAGAAAGAGTGGGCCCTGAGGTTAGCGTGTGGGAGGGTGTGGCACACAGGACCCCAAATCAATGCACTGAATGACAGTTTGCTAAAATTCAATTTGCAACTTTCAGATACTTAATAAGAGGCTAAGTAGTTTCCCTTGGGTAGTTTAGTATCATTTAGTCCTGCCTCTCACAGAGGTAGGACCAGCCCAGGTACAGAAAGCCTACAACAATAAAGATGCTGCTGCTGGTGGTGGTGATAGAAAAGTCTCCTGCTGCAATTCAGATGTCTGAACTGGAGAACCCACATGAGCTTGGCATTCCACCAGCTCACCCAAGGACCTCTGTCACTGGGGCATGGGCAAACCAGGCAAAGCTGATTGTAATGACTGCTCCAGGCCAGGGACTTTGGGTGTCATGTTTGCCTTGCCTGCAAATTACTGTGACTCTCTAGCTAACCACAGCTTACCTGCAGACCTTGGTTTTCCTACCTGAGACATTGGAGACAGTCATCACCACCCTGCTTACTATTCTCCAGAAGTTTTGTGAGTGCTCTCTGAGTTTCTGGATGCGTATAGGTTTGGAAAACTGCAGAGTTCTGTACACAGCACCTGCAAAAGCCTTTAAGTTCCTCTGGGCCTGTACTCTACTTCTTCTGGCTGAGCAGAGATGGCATTGACGGCGTTGGCTTCTGCCACTTCTCGAAAACTCTCAGAGATGCTGCCAGCGTGGAGGACTTGGGGCAGATGATCTGTTCTTCCCTCAGATCCCAAACTTGTTTGGCAGGGAAAAATGACGAGAGCAAGGAGCTCTTCAAGTATGCTCTTCACTTCTTAGCCTCACCCCCTCACACACTTCCACACTGTGTAGCCAACTCCAGGGAAGAGCCATGGACACCTAAAGGCAGCCTGCAGGACTATCAGTTGCAGCAGGAAAGATTTTTGAATGACCACCGAGAGAATACCTAAAGGGATACTAAGAGTTGGGAGTCCTCACTGAGCAGGGGTGACAGGGCTTTCTCAACATATAATCTCTTTTTCTTATCCGGGAGGGATATTGATAAGGTGAGATGGGTGGCAGACTGATGTGTTTTTGCCTTGACTTTTCTCCTCAAGCTTGCGCCACAACCAGATTGGGGACACTGGTGCCCAGCATTTAGCTGCCATCTTGCCAAGACTGTCAGAGCTCAGGAAGTTAGAGTGAGTGCCAGCCCTGTGGAGAGGGACTTGTTCTTTTTTCTTTTTTTAACATTTTTTATTGAGCTTTTAAAATTTCATATAACATTTCCCCCTCAAATCCAGCCCCCTCCCCCAGGTGCCTCCCCCCCACCGCCAACCTAACCCTGGGCACTTTGCCATACTTGCTGAGTCCTATTCATTCAGGTGTTTGTACCCAAATGTCCTTCAGTGTAAATGTGTTCCTAGGCCACTGGAGGCTTGCTCATGTGAGCCTGTGGCACTGGTGGCCTCAAGCATGGGACCCGTGTCACACCATACTCTTGGAGACATTGATCCCTGGCCTAGGCCAGCACTGGAAAGGGAAACCTCCTCCAACCTCAGTATCCAGGCCTGGGATTTATGACCTCCTGCCCCTGTTTTCTGGGTCCTTGTGTTTCATCAGGAGGGAAGAGTGGGAATGTCTCTTGGGCCCCTGAATGTATATTGGGGCAGGGTGTGGAGAAGAGGGTCTGATGGTTGCCCCTCCCACAGTCTCTCAGGGAACAGCATTGGCCCAGCTGGGGGAGCACAGCTGGCAAAGTCTCTCACACTTTGCAAGTGCCTAGAGGAGATCATGTAAGTGTCTGTTCTCAGATGGGATGCCCCACAGGCTCCTGGCCTTGTTCCCCAAGGCCACAGGGAAGGGCAGGGGTCCTGAGCAGGCCCCATGTATTCCACACTCCCCTTTTTCTTCTTTCAGGCTTGGCCATAATGCTCTGGGGGATCTCACAGTTCTGGGGCTGGCTCAGGGGCTACCTCCACAACTGAGGGTCCTGTGGTGAGTGTCCCTCTGTCCATTGTGCATGCAGTGATGGCAGGAGGGGACCCAGGAGCAGTGGGTTCAGGCAAGCCATGAGTTGGGCAACCAAGCCTGAGATCAAATCACAGCATGGCTCCTTCCCTGTTTCCACTCCCTGGCCTCTAATGCCCATCAGGGCCACCAGGAGACCAAGTGTTGGCCCTGCCCTGGTCCCTGTAAGCCCCTAGCTAAGCCCCTGCCCCTTCTGAGCCTCAGTTGCCTCATTTGCAAAAGAAGTTGCCAGTCCTAGCACATCCTGCCTAAAACCCAGTCCCTGAGGTGGGCAAAAAAATGTGAGCAAAGGGCTTTGTGCAAAAAAAGCTTCAAGAGCATGACATCCCCCCCTTCACAGGTCAATCTGTGGCCTCTGAGTCCCATGCAGCCCCAGGGCCTGGGATTCTCTTACGCCTCATTTTCTAGGAAGGGAGCCAAGGCTAGAACAAGTGTAGAGAGTTTGCCCTTTGAATGTATGAAGAAACCTAACCTTGAATTTGGGATCTCAGACCCCAAAGTTACCAGGGGCCAGCTAAGTTTGCTGCTGTAACCTGAAGTAAGACTAAGGGGGTGGGGGCAGTGCTTGGGGAAGGCCCCCAGCCCTAGAACTAGCCCCAGGTTCCTCTTTCCATCCCCTTCCACAGCCTGCCAGCTAGCTGTCTGGGCCCAGAGGGGGCTCTGTGCCTGGCCCAGGCCCTGGAGCAGTGCCCACAGGTAGAAGAGGTCAGGTAAGAAGGGACTCTGCCTGGACTGAGGGACAGGCCAGGGAGGGTCTGAGGCAGCTCTCATGAGTATCTCCCCTGCCCCACAGCTTGGCAGAGAACAACCTGTCTGGAGGGGTCCCACGCTTTGGCAAAGGGCTCCCACTACTCAGACAAATTGAGTAAGTAACATTCCCTGGCTGTACAAGGCCCTGTGGCAGTGGATCCTGATATCTGGGAGGGCCTTTGACAAGACAGAGGACTGAAGGATGGCTAGGGTGGGGTGCTTTCCTGTGACTGCCCCTGGCCAGGGAGCTCTGGTCTCTCCTGCTCTCACTATGAGACAAAGGTTTCTACCAGACATGCCCCCTGGCTCAAAAACTACCCCCATTCCATCCTAGCCTGATTTCCTGTGAAATTGATGACCAGGCTGCAAAGCATCTTGCTGCCAGCCTCATACTCTGCCCAGCCCTGGAAGAAATCTTGTGAGTGCCTGAGTGTGCCCTGGGCTGGGAAGTACAGGTGTCTGGGGGGCTGGCCCTGCTCACTGTGTCCCCTTCTCTCTGCTGGTTCACCTATCTGTAGATAGGGAAGTTCTTTCTTGCTCAGGAGTGAACTCCGGTGACACAGGGCAGAGCCACTAGACATCTCTTGCTGGTTTCTCCCTCTGTGGGATGGGAGAGGAGGTGGGTCACATGGTTTATAAAAGCATGTTTGCTTTTGGCCTTCCTTTACGGGGCACCTTTCCTGCTTAGAGCCTCCATTTATGAGTGACTATTGACATTGCAGTAAAGCAGAAGCTAGTAGACACCCTAGTCCCCACCCACCACACTGGTCATGCCCAACTCCCTTTTGGCCATTCCACTGCCTCAGACCTTGGGGCCTGGCAGCACCAAACCTGACTGCTGGGACTCACCTGGGGCCCTCAGCACAGAGTAGAAGAAAATACTTACCTCTCAAAGTACAGGGCAGAGATCGCAAGAGGATTTCTAGGTCTATATCCTGAACAGGTTTTTGTTTTGTTTTTCTATACTGGGGATAGAACCCAGAGGCTCTTGCATGCTAGGCAAGCCTTGTGCTGCTGACCTACGCCCCCAACCTTCAGAGGTCTTAATCCACTTTCTTAAGTTGCAGAGAAGGCCTCAGGTCAACACTCGCTCTACTTGAATGCCGACACTGGTGACCCTCCCTTTCTAACCATGGGGAACAGGGCAAGGACTGGGCACCCTGGGAAGGACATGGATCCCAGCTGGATGTTCTGCCCTTGTTGGCACTCTATTTACTCTGTTCAGTACCTTCCCTGTAGGGTCCGTCACATGGGGCTTCCATGGACAGTAGGGACACATGCTTCCTTGGAAGATTAATTTCTTAAAGCAAAAACAAAGTGGGGGAAGGTTTAAAGAAAAATACATACAATCGCACGGGAGACGGCCATCAAGACGAGGCACCTGCTTGGTGGATGTTTGCATTATGTCATGGTCTCTGAGTATCATGTGTTCTGCACTCCATGCCAAGCCTGGCATCTCAGGACAGTGGCTCTCAAGCTGTCTGGGTTCTAGAGAACAGAGCAGCTCAGGAGTGGGGGTGGTGGGGATGGGTAGGGAAAGTATTTGAGTACCTGTTGGGTGGCATCGTGGCATCTCTTTATGTGCCTTGCTGGAGGGCAGCATTCCTTACTGCTGTCTTACCTCTACCCTTCATCCCGTTACTTTCTGCTCCTGACTTTGCTCCACCCCAACCTTGCAGGTTATCCTGGAATCTCCTTGGGGATGAGGCAGCTGCTGAGCTGGCCAGGATCCTTCCACATCTGGGCCAGTTGAAGAGAGTGGAGTATGACAAGCCTTTGGATGGGAAGGGCAGAAGGGACCCACATCCTGGGCAAACCTAGAGACCACTGGTCTACCTGCCTCCCAGTCCATGAGTCTAGGTCCACTGCTATATTCTGACAGCATAGGGAGGTGGTAACCCTGTCTTGCCTAGGGAGGGAATGGGGAAGCCCACCCACTGAGACTCATGCTTGCCTCTCCTTCCCCTTCCTCTGCCAATGTTCACTTCAAAGCTTGGAGAAGAACCGGATCACTACATTTGGAGCCCAACTTCTGGCTCAAGGGCTGACCCAAGGCCTTTGTGTCCCAGTCATCCGGTAACAGAAGGGTGGGATGTGGGGTGGGAGGCCACACTAGCCCTACAATCTAAAGCGACCTCCAGGGGAGAGAGAGGCAGGGTCTGGGTTGAGGACTATCAAGGGAGACTTGGACTGTTCCATTAGGAATTTGGCAGCCAGCAGACCTGGATCAAATCCCAGCTCTGCTATTTGCCAACTGTGTTAACTTTGCATCTGTAACTTTGTGCCTCTGAACCTCAGTTTCCTCATCTGTAAAATGAGGAAAGTGATGGTGAAAGGGTGAAACCCAAGAGGGTGATAAGGATGGAGCCTGGCACAGTGTAGCTCAGAATGGGTGGTATCATGCTAGAGTAGCCGTGCTGGTTTATACTGCCTCCACTGGGTGATAAGCATGGCTTTTCCAGACAAGGTCTCGTGAATCCCAGGCTGGCTGGAAATGACCTCATAGCCCAGGGGGATCTTGAACTTCTGCTCCCCCTACCTCTACCTCTTAAGTGCTGGGACTGAGATTACAAGCATGTGCTAACCCAGGGCCTTTGCTCCCAGTCATCCGTAACAGAAGGGCGGGATATCGGGTAGGAGGCCACACTAACCCCACAATCTAAAGGGATCTCCTGCTTTAGGCCTTGATCTCGAGACTTGTAGGTTGATCAGGAGCAGGGACGAGAGGATAAGGGAGCAGCTCTGAGGCTGAGGCCTGTGTCTGTGCCCGCAGCCTGTGGAACAACCCCATTCCTGCTGATGTGGCCCAGAGTCTGCAGAGCCAGGAACCCAGGCTGGACTTCGCCTTCTTTGACAAGCAGCCCAAGGCCTCTTGGGGTACTTGATGGCCCTCTCACAACCCTTGACTCCAGCTGAGTGATGACCACATCACCCTCCAGGAGAGAGGGCTCAGGGGAAGAACCTCAGCTGGTGCCCTGCACCCCCAGGAAGGAAGAGCATCTTTGTCCTGTCTCCATCCTCAGGAGGACTTTCTTGGGGACTGAGAGATTTGTTTGATCAAAGGAGGACCCAGCATCATAAATGTGTGACCAGCAGGAAATTGGCACAATGAGAGTATCATGTGTCATACATGACAGGGGAAGGTCATATATATGTCACAGAATGGACTCTTGACATGGGAAAGTCATACTTATGACAGAAAAGTTTATATGTGGCATTATGTAGAACTTGTAGTGTGATGTGGTCATGTGATCAGTGATTTATCTATGATATGATGTCTGTGTTACATGACACAGCTTGTCAGAGGACCTTGGGCAAGTTCAAGACCTAATTTATTACTTTTTAAATAAAATAAAGTAAATAAGAGGACTGAAGAGATGGCTCAGTGGTTAAGAGTACTGGGTATTCTTGCAGAAGACCCAGGTTCAAATCCCAGCACCCACACAGTGGCTAACAACTGTCCGTAACTCCAGTTCCAGGGGATCCAATGACCTCTTCGGGCACTGTATAACATGGGTACACTTACATACATGCAGATAATGCACTCATACATATAAAATAATAGTAATAAATAATAACTAAAATATTTTTAAAGTAAATATGAAGCCAAGCCTGGTGGTGCAGGCTTCTTATCCCAGCTGCCCATGAGGTTGAGGCGGGAGGATTAGAAGTTCAAGGCTAGCCGGGGTAATTTAGTGAGAGGCTGTCTCAAAATAAAAAGTAAAAAAAAAAATTGGGGTGGGGGGCTGGGGCTATAGTTCAGTGATATAGTACTTCCCTAGCATATTCGAAGCCCTAGGCTCAATTCTCAGTACTATTTTCTTTAAAGTATTTATAAATTGCATTTCCAGAGCAGCTGAGCCAAGGCCTTTCTGCCCTGAGCTGGGAGGGGAATATCTAACTATTGACTGGCCCAGCAGCCTAATGGCCAGGACTCTGGGTTGTGCAGGGGGACTCAGCTTTCAGAGGAGGAAGTCTCCCCCTGCCAGAGCCTCAGTTCTCCCATCTGTACATTGAATAGCCCTCCCTCAAATACTGGCTTCCAAGGACTTTGGGCCCAGGCCTAGGTAGAGCGAGCCTGACCATGGGAGAGTTTGGGCCCATCTGTTCTGTACTGTGTAAAGGACAAAGCCAAGTTTAAGGGTTCAGGGATGGGAGACATTAGGCAAGGTGTTTGGGCCCACCTACTACCTCAGCAGGATTTAGGTTACCCCTTGAGGCTCCACATGTTGTACTGTGTTCCTGTGACTTTCAGGAGGGGTTAAGTCAAGTGTGATCAATAAAGGCGGACAGTCTTCCAGCCTGTAGCTGGTGTCTGGTGGATTTCCTGCTACCCCTATGAGGTCAGGAGTATGCCACCCTTCCCCTGTGGATTGGAGAACAGGAGAGATGAAAGGGTGTTTTAGGATGGGCAGTGACTGAGAGTCACTAGTCATATGACTGTGGAAACTCACGTGTCTCCAGACCTCGCCTGTCATATGAGGGTGTTATCAAAACTTGGATGGTAGAAACAGGTCTGTTTGCCACACGTATTTAAACTCTTCTGAATTATTAGCATTTAAACTTAGAAACTTGTCCATAAAAATTCCAACTCTCACTTCTTAAGAGCTAGTCCAAAGCCAAACATGGTGGTACATGCTTGTAATCCCAGTTCCAGCACTTAGGCAGTAGAGGTAAGGGGAACAGAAGTTCAAGATCCCTCTTGGCTATACAGTCATTTCCAGCCAGCCTGGGATTCATGAGACCTTGTCTGGGAAAAAAAGCCACCAACAAAGCTAGTCCAGCTACTCCTTGAAGATACAGGGTTACTCTGCTGGGGCCACACAGATGTACCCGTTAGATGAGGCACACACCCTACAGGCTGCAACAGTCCCTCCCCCACCAACCACCCACCTCTGCTTTTGGAAGTTTGCCCGGTCTTTGCAGCAGACTGCAAACCCCAGGCTGGGAGGGTTTCCATGGTAGAGTGGCACATTGGGAGCATGGCCTGGGATGGAATGTGACCTAGCCCCTGGCTGCTGGTCTTGGAAGGCAGGAACTGTTTCTTTACTTGAGTTGGTCACACACAGACACAGACACACACAATTACTCCATCACATATGCACATGTGCACATACGTGATACCTGCCAAGGTCAGGGAAGCAAGGTGGACATAGTCCCTGGTACAAAGAAGTGAGTGCTGATTACATTATGTACTAGTTCCCATCCTCATTTAGGACTGAATATCACACAGGGTGGAGAGATGCCCCAAGTGACAGAATAGTATCCACCCTCAGGGTTCCCTTTCACGACATTGTGAAAAGCCAGACCAGTAGGGTGCAGTTACAGCTGAACGCCACTGGAGGGCAGCCTGGCCCACTGGCAATTCCTTATCTAACGTCCCTGGCCCCTGGACACAGAGGAGGTTAGGCAATGACAGGGGTTGTTCATTCCTATCTGGCCAGGAGCTTGGGATTGCCCAACCTGCTTGTGGCTCACCAAGATGATTTGAATGTTTTGGCCCTTCACATTGTCTCCAGCACCCTGCCAAGCGCAAGGAGAAAATCCTCTGGCCAAGTGCCAAGGAAGATTCCCCAAATGAGGTTCTCTCTTCCCAGGTGTATCAGTCAAGTGGACAACTGAAGTCAACCATGACACACCCCCATGCCAGGACACCCTCATCAGGCCAGGGTCAGTGCCATTATCAAGGTCACAGGCAGGAAGTTGGCAGGTAGATGATCCGAGAAGTTTACCGAGAAATCTTTGGGCCCAAATTCTGTTTTCCCTTCAGAGATGTGATACCAAGTTAATCAGCAAGGGTTGCACTGCCTCTCTGGTCCAGACTGAAGATGCCTTGGTTAGGGTGGTTAAGGCTGAGAAAGAAATAGGACTGTGTACCGGAAATGCCAGGCCAAGTGACGTGCACGAGGTAGTGGTCAGAGGACAGTAAGCCCAGAACTCAAAGGTCCTTTTTTCATCGTGGCTCATCATGTTACTTTTCCACTTTCCCTTTTCAGTTCTAAACTCCAAGAAACTCACTGCAGTGGCCTTAACCTGAAACACACCATGGACTGGCCAGCAATGTAGAGCTGGCTGGGCCCACCTCAAGTCTATGTGACATCGTTCCTTTTCTTAACAAACTTCCTCTTATGACTAGAGAGATGGCTCTGCAGTTCAGAGCACTGGCTGTTCCTACATCCACATAGTGGCTAACAGCTGTGTGTTCTGGATCTCCTGGGTATTTATTTATTTATTTATTTATTTATTTATTTATTTGTGTGATATGGGGAGGCATCACACACATACCATAGCATTTGTATGGAAGCCAGAGGACAACTTTGTGCGGGTTGGTTCTCACCTTCTACTTGGGTTCCAGGGATCAAACTAACTTGGGTTGTTAGGATTGCAATAGTTCAGTTTGCTTTTCCATTGCTGTGATAAAACATTGATCAAAACCAACTTGGGGCTCAAAAAGACCAAAAGAAAGAAAGAAAGAAAGAAAGAAAGGAAGAAAGAAAGAAAGAAAGAAAGAAA